TGGGGGGGGGGGGGGGGGGGCCCCCCCCCCCCCCCCCCCCCCGCCACATCCTTGCTCGCCTGTCCTGGGGCCCGAGGAAGAGCAGCAACACCAGCGCAGCAAAGGCATAAACTGTAAATCTGCACACACATTTTACCATTAACAGTTACCAGAAACGATGGGCAGTAAAGACAAGGGTCATCAGGTACAAAAAGAGAACAACCCGACTTCAGCTCACTTGTGGTTGATGTCCTCAGGCCACAGGCTGCTGCGCAGGAAGCGGCGGAGCTGTGGGATTTTGAGCAAGTTATAGCGTAGCATATCCTTGGGCTGCAAGAAGGATTGGCACAGCATGCAAGGTCACTGGCCGAGCCAGCAGCCAGGTTGTCATCCGTCACACGTTTGAGGAGCTGCGGGTGGAAGACCTTTGTGCCAACTGGGATGGTCAACCGCACTCAGAATGCTTGCCTGTGTTGCAAACCAGAACACCTCTTCTGTCAACAGGTTGCCAGATGCTGTCGAGTCGGAGGCCTGCGGGCGGGCAGCAGGGAACCAACACAATACATATCGGGGTTGATTTCAACAGACAGGCAGCCCCCATCAAGTCCTGGGCTTGCCATGGGCTGGCTGGCGCAGGGTGCCGCCAGCAAGAACCACTGGGCGCCCTCCACCTGGCACCCACCTGCGTGGCAGCGCGCTCCACCATCGTCTGCAGCTCCACAATGTTCAGCGGGTAGCTGTAGCTCTCCAGCTGGCGCACTGCGCGAGGAAAGGGGGAGAGGGGCTCTGGGCCAGCTGGTGAACAAGATGGCAATGCAGGGAACTGGCAGTGGCACTTGCGCAATCCCAGTTGCCGGGGAAACATTCAAACCCACCTGCTTCGTCGGTAAGCGTGATCCTGGGCAGGTCACGCTGGCGTGCAATGTTGCGCAGGAAGAAGGCCTGCATTGCCCGCACATCTGATCGCCGCACGCGCAGTGGTGGCACCTGCATGCCGTACAGAGGGCGCGGAGCACACCACGTAGAGACATGCGGAGAGCAGCGACATGGTTTGTGGTGCTATATGATTTGTTGCGCTTGTGACCAGGGGCCGCCTCAGTGCCAGGAGGCTATCGCACCCACAAGCTATCTTGGAAAATACCCGTGCATACCTTGATGACAGTGGCCAGGTCAGCAAACTGGGGCAGTGCGATTTCTGATACAAGCAGAATGCGCGGGAAGGCGGCGCAACTGCAAAGTGGGGGGAGGCAACAGCGCGTTCCGCAACAGTTGTAAGCCCTGTCAATACACAGGCAGACACGTCGTGAGGGAGGGCACAAAGATGCTCACCTGCCCTCATCGCTGCTCAACCTGCTGACTTTCTCCACTGTCGCCTGCAGCAGCGCCAGCGCTGGTTTGGGTGCCTTGTGGATGTTGTTGAGCAGTAGGGTGCCCTGCAGCGGGAACATGGGGTAGGCGGTGTAGGAGCGGTGGGTGGCCAGGTGAAGGGCGTCTGAGAGTCTGTGTCGCCCGCTCCGTTCCCACCTCAGGTGGCAAGTAGTAGAGCAAGCTACAGGAACAGAGGCGGAGGTATCGTTAGTGTCGCGTTGGGAGATTCGCTCAATACTATTGGCTGAGAGGCCGAGGGATGGTAACCCAGGGACGCTGCAGCAACAGACCCGACTGCAAACGCACCCCTTCTTCAGGCCGGCCCCATAGACATCCGAGGCGTCATCGTCCAGCCTGCGCCACACCACAGCAGCATTCAAGCATGCATAGATGCACTTGTAGTTCTTCATTTGCCGCCTTCTACCCGTCCTGCTGCCGATCAGCACCGTCACCTTTCACAATCGATCTGGATAAATGGTGCAGAATAGTGGGGAGAGCCAAAATGGATGAGCCTGCACGTCAAAAAGGAGGGGACGGGGCTAGTCGCCAGCAGAGCAAGCAAGAGTGCCAACCATTGCACAAACTTACGCCGCCAAGTTGTCCTTCTCCAGGCCAGGCTCGCCGAAAATCAGGACAGGCTTCCTGCGCCATGCATGCACGGACAGGAGCATGCAGCTTGAGGGCACGTTTGATGCTGATGGCCGACTCCTCTCTGCCATGCAAGCTCACCTCGATTTGTCTCGCGAGGCCTGCACTATGGAGCGTCGTAGAGCTTTGGCATAGCGGCTTTCCCCAATGACACCACGCTTTGGGGCCGCTACAAGGAAGGGCTGCAGTGCGGTGGTGCGCTCCTTCTCCTCCTGCAGACAACGCAGCTTGGAGACGAGAGCGCCAGTTGTGCCCAGAACTGCTGAAGCACGGTGCCCCATCCTGGAAGAGTGCCCGCCTGCCCCACCCACCTGAAGCTTGCGCTCCGCCTCCAACAGCCTCTGCTGCAGCTCCACTACTTTTCCCTGCATCTCCCCATCCATGGTCTTGCCAGTGCTGTCAAGCGGGGTGCCGCCTTGGCCACCTGTGTCGGCGTCGTCACGGTGAGGAGCTCCCGCTGCCGCTGACGCGACTGCACCAATGCGGCGCGCCCGGCCCCTGCTCGCAGCGAGAGCGACGCGTGAGCGCTTCAGGACCCCTGGCAAGGCCGGCGCGCGGATGCGCGGGTGCTGCAGAGAGAGCAGCATGCCGCTGGACGCTCGACGAACTCAGTCTCACGAACCGACAATCGATACTGTCATGGACCGCGATCTGCATGCGCTCCCCCGAGACTCGGCTTTTAGCAAGAACCCTGCGTGCCACCATGCAAGCGCCCGTGAATGTGCTCTCATGAATGTGCTCCATAGAGCTACCAAAATGCCATGCAAGGCTGGAGGAGCTGCTTCTGAGTGGTGCGTCAAGTTACGGTCAAAACACCCCCGCCAGCGGTCACACTTGGCAAGACGTGCTTGCGACCATTTGGTAATGGCCTGCGCTCGCTAACAGACGCAAGTCATTTCTTGCTTCCAGTCAAGCCACATGCGGATCTTGCCTGCTGCCTTCATTTGAGCAAATTTGCGCCGGCGGGCAGAGGCCTGCCCGCTGCGTTTTGCGGCGCAGCGCACCCGGCGGTGCCCATGCTACCAAGTGGCTCTTCCTGTTGTGAATCTTGAAACCAGACTGTTCCACGATTTTGTTGGCGACCCTAGCCTGTAGCCTTCAAAACCATACGCTCCTGAGCATGGCGGCTCCTAGTTTGGGTTTCTAGGGCGCTTCTGCAGGCCGGACACAGAGCAGGATATTAATCTTTCGCGCCGCAGGCGCAAACACCCGCAGCCGCCGCCCATGGCGCACGCGACAGGCCTGTAGTTTGCTTCTACGTCCCGGTGGAGCCATGCTGCGGCTGGTGCTGCTGGTGCTGACGTTGGGGAGGGTCTGCGAAAGCCAGGCACCCCCGCCCAGCCCGCCCACGCAGGTGTCCCCCACGTACTCAGGCAAGCGGTTCCGGCACGCCCGAGTCTGACTCGCACGGCTCCAGGCGGAGGAGGGGCGGGGGGGGAGGGGTGGCACCGCCTTTTGCCGCCGCGTCACCGTGCCCGCCGCCCCACTACACCTGAACCCGGCCGGCCTGCCGTGTCCTTCCTGCCATAAGCGTGCAGAGGAGGGCATCCTGCTAGCCTTCAAGGCTGGCATCACCAACTGGGATGGGGTGGCGGCGGCCTGGGGGCTGGCTGGCTGGGAGCCCGGCGTGCCCGTCTGCACCTGGGGCGGCATCCAGTGCAGCCCTTTTGTGGAGCAGGGCAGCCGCGTGACCGGCATGTGAGCCCAGGAACAAGTGGCGGCCTTGCAGCGCCGCCTTCTGGATTGCCCCTTGCTGCAGGCTCGTTGTCGCTCGACCAGCAGTGCCTGCTTTCCCTCTCACTGCCACCCTTGGCCCTGCTAGGGCAGCAGCCAGACTGTGCACAGCCCGCTGCCTGCCGTGCATTGGCTCCCTGGATGACTTAACTGCCCGCCACGCCCACTCTGGTGCCATGTGCAGAAAGCTTGGCTGCCGCGGGTGCAGGGTGCCGCTTCGTGGGCGACTGGTGTCCAGCCTACAAATGCTGCAGTTCCTGGAGGTGCTGCACCTGGGCAATAACAGCTTGGGTGGCGACCTGCCAGTGGAGTGGGGAGATCCAGAAAGCTTCCCGGCGCTTTTGGAGCTGGACCTGAATGACAACGAGTTCACAGGGCCGTTCCCCGACTCTTGGAGCATTGGTCCCGCCTTCAACAGCCTCTTTAACATCCAGGCAAGCGGGCTGGTATGGCAAGGCATCAAAGGCAGGCAGTGCTCAGGTGCTGGCTGGCGGTAACCCTGCGACAGGAGCTAGCAGCAACGCTCCAGCTCGGTGGTGTACCTGAGTCATCCTCAACTCCAGATTTCTGGGGCACGTTCACTTGCAGGTGGCTAACAACCGGCTGACGGGCACCTTCCCCAACTCGTTCGCCCTTACCAATACATCATTCATTAACCTCCTGCAGTTGTGAGTGGGCCTCCTCAACTCCCGCCGTGGTGCCCACATGCACTGGCCTGCGGGCTGCCAACATTCAAAAAGGGGTGTGCTGTCTGACAGGGTGCTCTGCTGCCTGACTGCAGCAACATTGGTGGCAACCAGTTCACAGGGCCGCTGCCAAATTACATTAACGGAATGGTGAGAATTGAAAGCAGCAGCATCCTATACCATTGTTGTTTACACGCTGCCCTTCCGCTGATGTGCTCTCCAGTGTGTTCATGCTGCTGTTCTGGTTGGCCGCAGATCACAATGAGCTTGGTAGGCCTGCAAAACAATCGATTTACTGGTGAGTCTTGGTGGTTCCTCTTTGCTCCCATTTGCATGGCTGCTGCCATGCATGCCTGATGCTGCTTGGGAAGCATCAGGCCCACTGACTCTCACCTGCCCGCCCTGGCGGCCTCCGTCTGCTACATCGGCAGGCACACTGCCACCTGACTGGGGCACGCAGGCGTTTTTGGTGTATGGAACCGTGAACAGCACTCAAGCGCTCGAGTACCTGTAAGTGCTGCACGCATGCGCCCCCTCCCCTGCCTCTTCTCCTCCCGGGTTGAGAACCGGAGGTACCTTGCCAGCGAACTTCCAGCCTGTTGTTGCTTCCCTGTCACTGCAGGTGGCTGCATGGCAACAACCTGTCCGGCATGCTGCCGGATGCCTGGGCTGCCCCGGAATCGTTCACTGTAATGAAGGAGGTGACGCTTGGAGACAATCCGGGCCTGACCGGCACCCTGCCTGCTGCCTGGGGTGCAAGGCCGGATGCCCTTCCACTGCTGGAGCGGATCAACGCCTCTAGAACAGGGTTGTCGGGTCCGCTCCCACCTGAGTGGGGCCCCTATCCAAGCCAGCTGACCAAGCTGTGAGTGGTTGCAGCTGTTAGTGCCGCTTTCTCTGGCATGCCTTGCAGCATGTGCCCACCACATCCCAACAAAGCCAGTATACTTGTCGCTCGGCCCCCACATTGAGTCTCTGACCAGCTGAGTCCCGTCGCTCTCCCAACCTGGCCATCTGCTGCCCCGCGCTGTGTGCAGGTATATTGACGGCAACAACATCACTGGCACCGTGCCGGCCAGCTGGACACAGCTGGCAGCGTTGGAGCGCATTGTGATGCAGCCTGGCAACCCTGACATGTGCATCACGCTGCCCCAGGATGCCACATTGTCGCTGTGCGTAGCTGGCGATTTTATGTGCCTCAACAAGCCGGAGCCATCCAACGCCAGCAACTGCCAAGCTGTGGCAGCGACGGCAGCCAGTGCTCCAGCCAGCGACAGCAGCTCATTTCCTGTTGCGGCGGTTGCAGTGCCGGTAGCTGTGGTGGGTGCTGCCGCCATTGCGGCAGTGGGCTTGTTTGCCTGGCAGCGCCAGCGCACCAGGCGTGCAGTGACCGCCGGCCTGGTCCAGCAGCTCAGTGATGAGAACAAGGCCGAGTGGGCGCAGCAGGCAAGCCTGGCGCCACAGCGGCAGCCATGTGCATGCCAATGGGGATTACACGATGTGGAGCTGTCACATGACAGCTGCACCCCAAGCTTGTTTTCCCTGGCCCTCGATTTGCTGCTATTCCCCTGGCTTGCCTAAGGCTGTCCTATTGTGCCAGTCTGTGCAGGATGCGGAGCAGCCGCCATCTGACCCACCGCACAATGGGACTCTCTTGGCGCAGCTTGGCACCCTGCAGCTGCCATCCTCTGGCTCCAGTGCGCCGCGTTCCGTCCGCAATGGGTCCAGCGCGCCGCGCTCGCCACCCAACGGGTCAACCAGTGGCGCACGAGACCTGACAAGGGATAGTATCGGGGGAGGCAGCAGTGATGGTGCCGATGCCGAGCCGTTGTTTACCGATCTGGAGTTGCAGCAGATTCTGCCAGACTGGCAGATCGACCCGCAGGGTGCGGGCCTGCAATGCCGCTGCCTTTGGTAGCTATGCCAGCATTTGCAGCTGCGTCTGTGAGAACGCCAGGGCTGCTTGCTGTCCGTGACGTGCCTCACCTGCCTGTTTTTTCCGCCAGCTGACTGCTGGTGGCAAGGGAATGGACCCTGCTGCCCCTCTCCTTTTCCTGCCGCAGACATCCAGATCATGAAGCGGCCAGATGGCAGTGACTGGCGGCTGGGCAGCGGTGGGTTTGCCACTGTGTACAAAGCAATGCATAACGGAGTGCAGCCAGTGGCTGTGAAAGTGCTGAGCACGGTGAGTGAGTTTTGTCACTCTTTCAATGCGCGTTTGCGTGGTGCCCCCCACAGCCGGGCTGCTGGCCTGATGGTGTGCGACACATGTACCCCTCGATCCGCCACCCCGCCACCTCGTGCCATGCCAGAAAGCAACACCGTTCTGCTCCCCGTCTGGTCTTGGCGGTCAATGCTGCCCTGTCTGCGCAGACCGTGTCACACATGAAGCGGGCGATGAGCCAGGCGGCCTTTGCACAGGAGATTGCCATCCTGCGGGCCTGTAGAAATGCCAACATCCTGCAGTTCCAGGTGCAGGGCAGAGTGTTGTGCAAACTGTTGCCTGGGTGGGCTGCCCAACAGGCTTAGCTGCTCTCTGCTGTAGCTTTTGCCGTCACCAGCCCTGTCCGGTTTGACTGCCTGTGTTTGTGACATGCCTTCATATCCTGCCTGGCCCGCCTGCAGGGTGCATGTGTGCTAGACAGCCGACTGGTGCTGGTGACTGAGTACATGGAGGGCGGCAACCTCACGCAGAACCTGGCTGCTAAGAAGGTCAACTGGTACCGGAAAGGCAAAAAGGTGTGTGCACATGCACCGTGCGACGCGCATGTGCAATGTGGCGCCAGCGGTGCCTCCAGCGGGCTCATTGCCACCACTTCCTGCATCCTGCTGTGCACTCGCTGAGCGCCCTGCCCGATTTCTGCCTGTCTGGCTACCTGGCTGAGGTGCAGATTGCACTGCATATTGCCAAGGCTTTGGTCTATTTGCACTCCCGCCGCATCGTGCACCTCGACATCAAGTCCGCCAATGTGCTGCTGCAGAGGTGGGGGGGTGTTCCGCTGGCTGTCTGGCTTGCAGCTTGGTGTGTACGTGTTGCTTGCACTGTGCATGCACGAACGTGAGCACAGTTTTGCCCTAGCAAGCCCCCACCATTCCCACAATCTGTTCGTCCGCCCCCATCCACCGGGGTACCCTTCACACCCTGCCTGCTTGCTAGGGACGGAACTGCCAAGCTGGGGGACGTAGGATTGGCAAAAATCATGGCAGGCGGCTACGTGAGCGGCACTGTTGGCACCCTGGCATGGTGAGTGTGCTGCTGGCTTGCTCGGATCCTTCGCCAGTGTGCATTTGGTGCCCTGCAGGGCCTTCACAGTGTGCTGCATCTGTTCGTTGCAGCATGGTGCTGCAAGTGCTGCACAACACCTGCCTATTCTCTATGACTGGCCCTCCACTTGACACTCGCCCACCCTTCTTCCTGCCGCGCAGGTCTGCACCCGAGCTGCTAATGGGGCGGCGATGCGGCGCCAAGGCCGACATCTTCTCCTTTGGAGTGGTGCGCTGCATTTGCCAGCAGCCCTCTCGTTGACTGCTCCCGGGCGCTAGCCCGTGGGGAGATGCGACATGTGCGGCTGCGTTGTCTCCCTGGCTGGGCCTCGCCTCTTTCAACGCACAAGGCTGCCCACACCCATGGTACAACCGCCTGGGCCTGCAGGTGTTGTGGGAGATTGCCACGGGGGAGATGCCGCAGCGAGGGCAGATGCGCGATCCAATGTGAGTGCGGACAGCAATTTGCCTGCTTCTCACCTCCCTCACCACCTAGCAACCCCTGTTTCGCTGCCCACTCTTCCACCGCGTGTGCTCGGTTCCTTTTGCTTTGCATCTCGCAGCGTCCCTGACGAGTGTCCTGCAGAGATGGTGGCCATCATGCAACGCTGCTTTGCGTTAGACCCGACAACACGACCCACTGCCGCTGAGCTGGTGGAGCTGCTGGCAGTCGTGCCTGGACCTCCACCGCACCCACATTTGCACTTGCAGCTGTCTTCCATGCCATCTATACCATTACAGACGAGCACCGGCATGCACGCAGCTTCCACTGATCGTGGCAGCGCCGTGGACTCTGGGATGGTTGCGGCAGTGGCTGCCGATGGTGCGGGCGGCAGATCGATCAGCAGTCGGGAGTTGCAGGGATCCGCCCCGCCACCAACCCACGACCGATGGCAGCATGAGCGGCCTCCCTTTGTGCTTCGTCCCGTCCCATCTGGTTCGCCCTTCGAGCGGGCACGTGCAGCGCGGCAAGTGCCAGAGGGTGAGGGGCCTGCCAAGCCCTGCCAGCTCCCTGAGCGGGCCGGAAGTTTAACAGGGGCCTCGCCCTTTAGCCAGGTGCAACCCTAGCAGGAATTTTGTAAACTGGTTTTCATTCCATGCACCACATGTGCCCCGCTTATGTTTGGCCTGCATTGCCACTCCTCTCATACACGGCCCTGCCGTTGGCTGCGGGATCCTGTATTGATGCTTGCATCACTTGTTCCCTGCTTATGCTTTGCCTGCGTTGATTCCACTATCGTACAGTTACACTTGCTCCGCCGTCATTGCCATTGTCACAACACTCGCTCCATCATAAAACCGCCTAATTGCCAGGTTCCTGCCTTGCCCGCCCTACAATACACATGCAAAAGTGCATACCTTCCTTTCGCTCGCTATGACTCTCCACCCCTCTCAACATTGTTGCATTTTTCACATGAGGGGCATGAACAGTAGCGGAGCTGTGAATGAACTTTTACCAGCTTCAGGACAGCTCCTGCGCATCACGTAGCATGCGCAGAATAGGACCCAGTGCAGTGCGACGCACACCTGCACGCGGCCGGGTGGCGCCAGGTGTCAGGCTGGCACCGCGGCCCCCAATTCCTTCTGCGCTGCTGCGGCTGCGCGTGGTCGGCGGTGCAGACTTTGCTGTGCCAGGGAGGCCGCTATCATCTGCTTGCTGCAATGGCACTGTGTGTGGCGTCACTGCTGCTGCTGGCTGCTTTGCAGCATTCTGCGCAAGCTGCTCCCTGCGCTGCCGCAGCTGTTCATACAGCGATGCCCAGCCGCCTTCCGGGACAATCAACTGATCCCTGCTGACTGGGCGCGGCGGCCCCAGCTGGGAGTATGCGGCAGGGCCAAGCCCGTCGTCGGGCACCTCCTTGCCATGAGCTGCAGGATGTGCACCGCCGGGGACTGGCGCAATCGCAGGTGCAATGCCAGTTGCCGGCTTAGCCGATGCGGGTGCTGCAGTGGACTGACTCTCGTCTCCTGCCGCCCTTGGTGCTTGAAGTATGCGAAGCTCCACGAACGAAGAAAGCTCCGCTACCAGCATGCCTGCTTTGTCGTACTGACTGCCCAGATCTGCACCACACAGTAGTGTGCAGGTGCAGGATGCTTGTTAATAGTCGATTGAAGGTGTTTTCCCCACAACAACCAGAGCAACTATGCCAGCCAATACCGACCTTCCTCCTCCTCCTCTTCGCTGCCAAGGTCGATTGCCTCTGCTTCTGCCTGGCGCAGGGCAAGGGCCTTGGCACGCCGATAGGTCAATGGATGCACGGCAGCGTCAGGGTGTGGCTGAAGGAGGATGGCCTTCGTGGCGGTATCTGCGCCTATGACCCTGCATGCCATAGCCGTGCATGAAGGAGAAATGCAACATTCAGATACTGGCTGCCCTGCACCAACACGCCTTGGTGCATCTGTTGCATTGCAGTGCGGCTTTAAAGCAACAGCAACCCACCTGCCAAAGCGTACTTCCGACACCGATGGCTGCAAGTCCGCCCCAATCTCCAAGAGGCGGTACGCCAGCACATCCCCCACATGAGGCGCCCTATCCAGTAGTGGCAGCTGCCCAAAGGCCGCCTCCGACATGGGCTCGGCCGATCCCGCAGCTGTGACAGCCAAAGCGGGGGTAGTACTGCCAGCCACAGGCGGTGCAGGTGCCTGCGCCCACACCTGCTGCATCTGTGATGGGTGCTGCGAGCCCTGTCGGCAGTGCATTGCCCTACTTTGTGTCTGCAACTTTGGAGGAACAGTATCCACCTGATTGGATGGCAGGGTCGCCCGCTGCCCAGCTGCTGCCGCCCGAGGCACTTGCGCCGATGCTGGCACAGTGTCAGCAGACAACGGCGCGCCGCCAGCTGGCGTACCCCGCTGCTTGCCGCCTGCTCCCAACTGCTTGCGCAACCCAACCTGCACATTGACAGCCGGCCGTGAGGCGCCCTCAGCGCCCTCAGCTGCTCGCACCGCAGCGCCACCCTGTGGTTCTTGCTGGCGACCACCCTGGGGCAGCAGACCCATGCGCCGCAGCCGACGCTTCGCCGCCTTACGCCGAGCACTCCTGCTGGGCTTCTTCACCTGCAGCCCAGGCCAGGATGAGTTGCTGGACGATTTATGCTTGGCTGCCTGGCAACCGGAAAATCATGAGCATCCCCGTAAACATCAATGACAAACATTGGCACACAAATGCGCACCGCGGTGTTGGGACTAGCAGGCAGCTTGGTGGCCGGAGTCTGCTGCTCCTGTTTATGGGTCGCCGCCACAGCACCCGTGCCCTCGGTCTCGCTGCTACCGCTGCTGTCAGCAGCATCCGAGCTGCTGTCGTCTGCAGCTTCACTGCTGCTACTGCTGCTGGTATCCGTCCAGCTGCTGCTGCTGATCGCGCCACGGCCGCTTCTGTCGGACCCCCCGCCCGCTCCTCTGCTGCTGCTGGTGCCACTTGAGATGCTGTTTGCACCTACTGATTGACCCTGTCGCTTGGACTTCTTGCTCTTTTGCTCCTCCGCGCCGTTGGCTGCCGACGGGGTAGGTGCCCCACGCTTCCTGCCCAGGTTCACCACCAGCACGTCGCCCTCCCGCAGCAGCCTAATCCTGCTACTCCGCAGCAGCGCGAATCCTTCTAAAGTGGCCTCCAAGCGGGCTCGTTGAGACAGTTGCAGGCCCAGGTGCTCGCCCAGCTGCGCAGCGCAAGGGTAGAAGACCAGCGGCGGCGGTGGCGGCGACAGCAATGGGAGTGCAGCGGCGGCGGCAGTCGACAGCATCCCCTATCGCGCTTACCTCATCCAGCAGGTCACCGATCTTCTGGCCGCCAGCCTCGGGCTGCCACCTGCGGCAGCGTGATGATGGGAGGCGAAGTAAGCGCTCGTCAAGTGCAGGCATGAGTGCAGGCATGAGTGCAGGCATTAATTCTGGCATGACCGCTCACCAAAACTTTTGATGGGCCTGCTGCTCCCATGCTAGCTGAACCCGCAGTCTCAGCCCGTGCATACTGACAGGCCCAAAGATGCACTGCCAGCGGCAGAAGAAGAAGAAGAGAGAAGAAGCAAGGAACCGTCATAGCGGCTTAGCGGTACACCGGTTGTCCCGCACTCCAGTTTCAACGCCAACTCATCCTTGATGCCCCTTGCTTACAGTGGTGCCAACAGTTTGTGAAACCGGCCGGGCTGCAATGCAGGTTTGTCAGCCCTGCTGCATGGGCGCGGTTCCTACTTGCTGCTCCTCCTCTTCATCCACTCCGCTGCTGCCCTCCTCCTCGCTGCCGCCCTCCTCCTCCTCGCCCTCCTCACCGTCTCCCTCCTGCCCCTCCCCTGCCGGCGCGGTAGCATGCAACGCCTGCTCCACTGCACCAGCTGCAACCGCTGCCACGTCGCTCCCGCCCTGCACCGCACTACTGCGGGCCCAGGCCGCCGCCGCCTCCTCCCACTGCTGGCACATGAACTGCACGATCCCCGCCATCTGCTCCACGCCGCTGACCAGCTGCACCGGCGGCACTGCGTCCAGCTTCCGGCTGCAGTGTCCATAATGCTCCCCTGGCACCAGCGCTAGCTGCAGCGGCCGTGCGAGCAGCTGGCTGAACGTCGGCTGCAGCTCGTAGCAGTTGGAAAAGAGGTTTGCACGGCCAAACACGTACAGGCCCAGACGAGCACGGGACATGGCCACCACTGCACGCGGGACAGGGCACAGAAGGGGCCACTTGAGACGGCAGGTCAGCGGAAGGAGCAGGTGCCACAGCATCGTTGTCAACATCGGGTGCAGCGGGGTGCTAGCAGAGCCTCAATCAGCAAGGCTGCCAGAGGAGCCGCATGGCTGCTGCGGGCCCCCACACCCACCACACACACATGCACACACCACCCCTCACACATACACGACACCACCCATACCCACTCTGCCTGTACTCACCAAGGCGGCGCACATCACGCAGGTGGCCAAAGTGGTTGGTGCGCACCAGGCTGAGCAGCACATAGTCATTCTGCTGCCCCTGAAACTTGTCAACAGTGGTTACCTGCAGGGCGTGGGTTGTGTGCGGGGGGCGGGGGGGCGATGGTGCGGGGGGTCGCCGCGCAGGCAGAGCAGGCCACATGCAATCCAGCACATGCACAGCACACACACGCAGCCCTACATCAGCACGCCCGCCGCAATACCTTTGCGGGCCGACCAAAGGCGGGGTGGTGTGCGCAGCGCCGCTCAAACACATCGCGCAGCAGCGCCTTTTGTCCGTTGTATGTGGTGAGGACGGAAACTTTGTGTGCGGGGTACCCCAGCAGGCGCATGTACTGGTACACAGACACCAGGTACTCGGCCTCGCCCAGGTTCTGCACGCAGGCAGGCGGGCAAGTGTGCACGGGTCGATGCTGAAATGGGCAAACGCTGGCTGAGTATGGCCCAACCACATCCGTCGCACAGATTGCTCGCTTCGCTGCCCCTCCGCAGCCTTGCCACCCTCAACTCCCTAGCCCGCCCACCGCACCTGATAGAAGTAGGGCAGCGGGCAGCTCTCGCCGCGGCCATTGAAGTCCGGAACGTCGACAAGCTGGAAGTCGAGCGCAAAGCCAGGGTTGGCGGTCACAAAGGCGGGCTCCTGGCTGACAGAGGGCAGATCGCCCAGGTCGCGATACCGCCAATTGTACAGCTTGGCCAGCGTGGGACGTGCTCGTCCCTGTAACGCATGCGTGGAAGTTCTTCACGGCATCAGGCTATGCGGTGAAAGGGCGGGGCAACGCACAGGGGGGAAGTAGATGCTGCATCCTGCCCCTCGAGAGTGCCCCCTCGCTGTCACACCTGCGCATTGAGCTCGATGTAGGGTGTCCCCAGGCGGATGAACCGGGTGAACAGGGACTGGTCCAGATGGCTGTACTGCTGGATCGCCATGTTTTTCACCACTGGGGGCAGCTGGTGGTGATCGCCAATTAGGATCACGCGCTTCAGCCGGTTGTGGCCGTCCTCCTGGCGCTGCGGCAAGAAGCCAGAGAAATGAGGGCAGGCGGGCAGGCAGCAACGTTGAGCCAGCGGCACAGAGGGTGCGAGGGGGATGAAGTCACCGGACAAGTGAAAACAGAGGATGTGCCATGCCGTCACCACCACCACACAACACAACAGCGACCCTGGCCGCGCCTGCTCACCTGCAGCAGCACGGGGATGAACGTCTCAATCTCCAAGATCTGAGCACTCTCCTCCATCAGCAGGTTGTCGTACTTGAAACCCAGCTCCAGAAACTCCCTGTACACAGTGATCGTCGATGAGGGAGCAGGCCAACCACAGGCAGGGGGTGACATGGGCATTGACGATCTTGCAATGTTCTGCAAGCAACATGTGGGCACCCAGAGCTCCCGCTACGAAACGCTCTATGCTCTCCAGGCTCACTTGCGCTTGAGAGCTGCATGAGTGCAAGTCATGGCCACGATTTTGGCCTGCTTGGTCATCAGGTAGTTGACGCGGTCGGCGCTAGACTTGAGCAGCTCAAAGGGCCGAATCTCCTCCAGCTCGCGGAACATGGTGCGCAGGTGGCGGAAGCAACCCTGGTGCATGAGAGGCACAGGGCATGGAGGGATTACAGGGGTAGCGAGCAAGGGAGCGACGTATGGTCTTGCCCCACAACCACAAACAGCAGGCCGGGGAGCACAGCAGATAATGGCCACCCTGCTGGTAAAGACCAACTTTGCTGCAACGCCCCCCTCCCACTTTTGGCAAGGGTCACCTGCGCCTTCTCCATGTCCTCCTCGTACCGCTCCCCCTTGAACAGCGGCTGAGCCGCGTCAGCAAAGAATTCGGTGAAAGGAAAGAGCTCTGCGCCCGCGATGTGGAGGGGCAAACAGAGGTGTGAGGCACTGTGCGATACAAACACTGCCTGCACAGGCTCACAAGCCAGGCCCACAAGCAGCAGAGGTTGACGCACTCACCTTTTACGCAGTCTGCACTCTTGCTGGTGCTGCACTGTGCCACAAACTTCTCCCACCGTGCCAGCACGTGCAGCAGCCAGAAGTGGCCTGCCGTCTCGCACGTGTATGCCACGCTCTCGCTCACCTTGAGCAACTTAGCCAGACGTTCAACCTGCATGGCGTGGGCCAGCCGCAAAACAAGAGTAAATAGCTAGCAAGCGGGAAAAGAGCGGGGCTAGCCAAACCAAGAGGCAGCCAGAAAAAAGTTGCCTCCAACATGGTGCTGTCCACGACTGCAGCACATCGAACCCAGCAGACCGTGTGCCTCACCTCTGCTAGCAACTCTAGCCTGCGCGCCAGCATGGCGTTGACGCGCCCCACCCGGCTGAAGTCCAGGTCTGTCTCCAGCTCGGCCTCACCCATGCCCAGGCGCAGCAGGTAGCGGGCCGGCACGTCGCGCTCGACAATCTGCGGGGCAGCGGGGCGAGCGGGCAGTGATGTTTGCAGCTAACGTAGGGGACAGCAGCAGACGCGCGCAGAGGAGTCGGACCTGCAGCCCCACCCACCTTGCTGAACAGATCATTCAGGGCCTGGTTAGAGTGGGTGACCACCAGCGTGCGCTGGCTGGGGCAGTTGTGGTACAAGATGTGCATGATCTGCACCGCCGTGTCCGTCTTGCCCGTGCCTGGTGGGCCCACCACCATGGTCAGCCCAGGCTGCACCCCACTCATGATGGCCTGTGTCTGCACCGGCGTGAAGCGCACGCGGTTCTGCGGCGGCAGGTCCTGCGGGTATGGGCCTGGGTCAACTGGCGTGTACGACTCTACCACCAGCTTGCCCTTGCTGCCTGCCGCTTGCTCCGCCGCGCCATCATCTGCCGGCTTGCGCTTGACCTTGCCGCCTACCGCCTCCTCCTCCTCTTTAAGCGGGGGGAAGGTGATGCGGAAGGGGCGCTCAAGCTGCGGGCTGCGGCTGCCGTTCCGAAACTCAATCTTCCACCCTGGGAATGCCTCGCGCACGTGGTCTGCACAGCATAAGGCAAAAGCCGTTGAGGTGCAGTAGCAGGGTCACCCACATCCTGCAAGTGCCATCCTACCACGAACCATCCTACCCACACCACCCATTCTGCGCACTTCGCTTCATGGCTTGTACAATGCATTTACTCAATGGAACCCCTCCCACACAACCAGTCCGCGCCGCTGACCCACCAGCATCCAGGAAAGTATCCTTGAAGTCCACAGTCTGCAGGCAGCCATCCATGTGCTTGTACTGCGCGGCACCGGGGTCGCCATAGCCCAGCAGGATGTCGTGCAGCCAGGGCGGCAGCACGCAGTCCTCATTCATGAGGTCGCGGATTGACTCCAGCACCGCTTTGAAATTGTTCTCCTTGGCCTGCATTGTTCATGAGACAACGAGTACACAGCAAGTTCATTTGAGGAGGTGTTCCCAGACATGTAGGCTGGTGGGCAGCCCCCAAGCATCGCCGCGGGCAGGCCCTGTGCCCTGCTCCACACCCACCTTGCGGCGCATGAGCATGTTGAAGGTGCCATACACGTCCTCGCTGGCGCCGCCCCCCTGCTGCTGCTTGGCAAGGTAGTTCATGTCCATCTGGTACTGGGCAGTGTCCAGGGCCACAGTGACGGTGCGGATAGCGCCCACCGGCGGCGTGCGCTCGTCCAGGCGCACACGTCCTGTGAAGTCGTTCATCAGCTTGCCATCTGTGGGGGAAGAAGAAGTGCAAAGCGGCATTTGGTGGCGGCCAAGTGCCAGGCAAGGCTGAACAGCACCAGACCAAACAAGATGCCTCCCAGCACCGCAAAGTGTGGCACAACGCCAGCAGGTATTTGTGTCCCTGGCGCCCCTTTGTTCAATACTCACCCTCATCACGAAGCTCGATCACCTCGCAGCCGCGCACATACTGCAGTCCTGACCGCTCCATCACACCCACGCCGCCCTCCTTGCCGACGCCCTGTCCGGACTGCGCCATGTAGTTGGCCGTGATGGAGTCGGGGGGGCGGATAGTGAGGAGGAAGAGCACATCGTGCTGCTTCAACTCGTCCCACTCTGCCCGCACATCGGGCCGTAGGGTGGCCAGGTTGATGGTGATCTCGGCTGCAGAACAGGCGGGTGAGCAGGGCTTGCGCGACAGGTTGGCAGCAGCCGGAGGGAAGAATGCGGCCGCAGGGTATCTGCGCACAAGATTGACAAGGACAGGCGCAAGATGCCAGGCACGACAAAGCGCACGCAGCCATGCCAGGCTGGCGCTTGAGCTGAACTGGCCTGCTTATTGGCTCTCTCACCTGTGACTGCAGCCGGCTTGTTCTCGCCCACCTTGGGCTTGCGCACCTCGGTGACAGCAAATTTGTCAATGAGCTGAGCCATGCGCGCCCACCCGCTGAACCCGACCTGCAGCAGTGCACGAGGGTGAGAGACGCGCACTGGGATGACCTTCGCCATGCTGACCTGCCCAGACTGCTCCGCATGGAGCCGCCCCATCCACCCACCCGCTCGTCGTCGCCGAGGTAGGGCCCCACGCGCTTGAGAACGTCAGCAATGTCCTCCCGTATCTCGTAGGTTGCCTCCAGGCGGAACAGGTTGAAGTTGCGCAGCATGTAGTCGGCAAAGGTGAGGAACTGCAGGTTAAGCTTGGGCAGGGCCAGCACGCCCTCCCCTGCAGCAGCGGCGGATTTGGTAGAACATGGGAGAGTCAGCTAGAGGTATTGCAGCTTCGACAGCGAGGCCAGGGTTCAGTAGTGCGGGGCCAGGGTTCATGAAGGCAAGAGATGGAAGAGGAGGAGGAGTGCAGTCTCTGCGCCCTTGCGATCTTGCCCATCCAGCCCAGCTCAACACGGCACACCCACCTGTGTAATGCATCGTGGGAACCTGGTTCTCATCAAACAGCACCGCCTCAGTGGGGTACAGTGGCATCTCGTTGATCGTCTCCGCCTGCAAATAAACAAAGCAAACAAGCACAACAAGTGTATGGCCGGACATTGCATTCTGGAGGAGTGGCACCGGCGCCATGCATTGGACATGGTCCAACTGCAGCTGCCACTGCACCCGTCACAGCCCAGGCGGCCGCCGTCCTTGGCGACGCACTTGTGAGCGGCGGTGCTCGTAGGTGGCAATCATGACCTCCGCCAGGAAGCCCGCATCATCAGCCCAGGGGTCGTCGTCAGACACCAGCCTGTGGCCATGTGGCCAGGCAAGCGGACAGGCATGGGCATGGGGATCAGTGAGTTCATGGGCACACCCAGCGGTTGGGCTGGCTGGCAGGACACCCCCCTTTTCTGGCCCCACCTACCGCCCACCACCCATCCACAGCCGCACACCTGAGCTGGCGCGTGACCAGGAAGCGAAGCTCCTCAGGGTTCAGCGCCGCCAGCTCCTTGCGCAGCACCTCACGCTTCTCAACTGCGAGCGAGGCAACGCAGGGCGCCATCAGGATCGGCGCCAGAGCAGGGTCGGCAGAGCCAGGGAGGGCAGCTCACGGGGTGGCATTGCTGAGCACACTACGCCCCAGTCAATGACTTACCAGTGCCACAATTTGCCAGAGCCAACTCGCGCAGCTTGGGCACATGCTTGAAGAAGAGGCGCTGCAGCTGCTGCACATGCTCATAGTGTGCCGCGGTCACATCCTCCTCGCTCAACGGGTCGCCGGTGTGGTCGTGGATGGGGAAAGACAGGTAAAAACGTAGCAGATCCACCAGCTGCAGAGGGGGTGCGAGGAAAGGAGATGCTTGCAAGTGCAAGCTGCGCTCACGTCCAGCCCATCAAGCAGCCAGCCCCCTACCCTCCTGAACAGCACCACAACAACAGCGCACCGCTGCCGCCACACCTGCACATAGAGGCGGCCCTCTGGATGTGTGTAAAGGCGCGACATGTAGCACTTGACAAGAACGGCACGGTCCTCCAGCACGGCATGCACAAACCGGCGAGTGGGAAGCTGCACCAGGCAAGCAGAGTGGATGTAAGTGGGGGCAGGGGCAGGCAAACAAGCAGAACATCAGGCAGGCGCCGGCAGCAGCCTGCCAGCAGCACCACCATCAGCAAGCAATCACACCCGTCCCTGTCCTTGTCCTCCCAACTCCACCCTCCCGGCTGCCCCACCTGCGATAGCAGGTCAGTCAGGAACTCCACAAACCGCTCGCAGTAGAGCAGCGCCTGGCGGTCCAGCTTGCCGCTGCCACCTACTGCCGCCTCCTGCCCATCCTCCTCCATCGCCTGCTCCTCGGGCACGACGGCCGAAAGCACCTCCAGGTACTCGGTCAGCAGACCTGCGGCAGCACAGGTAGCACAATTGAAACACGCAGGTGGTGGGCAGCTTGATGGAACCACAAAGGTGAGGTTGCTGGAATTGACTGTTAGACTGGATTGGCCGGCTTGGGGCCAGGGCTTGCCTGGCAGGAAGGTGGCCTCGGGGCGCTGGTGGACAGGAACATGGCCCTCCTGCTGTGCCGCCTTGGCTTCCTTCTTGGCCAGGTGCCGCCAGTGCTTGGCCAGCTGCGGAAATGTATTGAAGCAATGCAAAGGTGAACCATGCAGATCCCGGGAAGGGAGGAAGGGATACACGCTCGGCACATGCACAAGCTCCTCACGCCTCCCTGGCAACACTGCGCGGCGGCAGGCCCAGGAAGGCGCCGAGTGCCCAGAGCCGGCCACTGACTGTGGACAGGAGCCTGCCCCATCTTGTTGTTGCCCTCCCGCAGCACTGCTGCTCACCTGCGGCTGGTCGTGCAGCTCCAGCTGCAGCCTGCCCCTGCTCAGTGCGTGCCACAGCGGCAGGCTGACCAGACGCAGCACCTGCGCCCGCACCGCCTCGTCCTCCAGCGACTGTACCACCGTAATGCACGAAGGCACACACAGTGCACGCTGGGTTAGCCACTTGGCAGGAAAGAAGAGAGGCTGGCGCTGATGTGACATTCACTCTCTCAACCAGTAGTAAAACAAATCCCTGAGCAAGTTGCAGCGCACCTGGAAAGCATTGATAGCAAACACCAAGTAGGCCACCTTCTCATGCATTCGCATGCGCCCGCCCGCCTCTTGTTCCGTCTTCACCATCAGCACGTGTTGGAAGAAAGTGGGGAAGTCCTCCTGAGGCAAACAGGCACGCAGGGGAAGAGGCAGGGAGGCGCGGATTGGCACATGGAGTGAGAAGAGGGGCAAGACAAGCAGGCAAGCAGCTTAAGAAACAGCCACAACCAGAAGTTGTTGATTGCAACTGTCGGACAACAATGGGGTGCATTGTTCCCGAGCGATGCCCGCCAAGCTTGCCAGCCCACCTTGTTTTGCTGCTGAAAGCAGGCCCAGCCGGGCACCTGCTCCCTAAACTTCTGATTGACCATCACCACCATGCTCATGAGGTGCTGGTAGGCGGCCGAGCCCGCCATGCCTGCCTCAAAGTGCGGCCACAAGTAGTTCTCCAGGTACTGGCTGATCTCCAGCAGCTGGACCCTGTGGCAGCAAGCACACAGAGGGCAGTCAGGCAGGCAGATAGGCAGCTGCCAGCAAACCGCAACCATCAGCTGCACAACGCAAGTCTCCCCAACACACTGGACACGACATAGCCAGCGGACACAGCTGCGATGCTCCACAGCCTACAATGCACAGCATGCCACGATAGCGCGTTTGGGCCCCGATCACGCACCTGCGGTTGGTAGGCGGCTTGTTGCTGTCACCGCCCAGCTCCTCGCGATAGATCTGGGCCACCAGCTCAGCCTTGTATGCCGGTCGCTTGCCATCATCGCCTGCTGCACCCGCCGACCAGTTCTCCTTGGCGAGTAGAGTGAGCTTATCGGCGCTGATATCGGCCATGGTGAGAGCACCAAAGCCGCCGCTGGCATTCGCACCGGGGCGCTTGGGTCCAGGCCGGCCGCCCTGCCAACCGACACCACCAGGCCGTTTGGCGCCGCTGCCCGGCTTGCCTGGCCGCTTCCCCACGCCTGCCGGCTTGCCAGGCTGCTTGCCACCCTGCTGCTGCTGCTGCTGCTTGCTGCTGCGCTTGCGCTTCTCCGTTTTACCCTGCCTGTCAGACGCTGGGGTGGCACCAGCTATGCCGCCATCTTCTCCCGCCTCTGCCAAAGGCACCTGCTCTCCATCTGCCACTGCTGGAGGTGAGTCGGCCCCTTGGCTTGCCACCTGCTCAGCGGGATCTGCATCCACCTCCATTTCCTGCTGGTCCTCCTGCTGTGCAACTGCGGCAGGCTCTGACTGCTGCTGGTGCTCAGCTGCAGCGGCTGGCTCTGCCGCTGCCGCCGCCTTGGGTGCGTGAGCAGGCTCAACTGCCACCTCTGGTTCCGCCGCGGCCTCCTCGTCGTCGCCTGGAGCTGCCGAGTCAGTGCCATCACCTGCGCCAGCTTCAACACCCTCGGCCGCCTGCCGGGCTGCCTCCATCTGCTCGGGAGTTCCCTGCAAAAGAAGACTCCACACCAGGTGTTGTCTTGGCAGCACTGCCCCCCCGCCGCCCCCACCACCACAAACACACAGGTACGGGCGGAGCGGCGATGACGGAGCTGGGACTTGCCGCGCGCCCACCTCATGCTGCTTGATGTACTCCTCCAGTCGCGCCGCCAGCTCCGCCTTCTTGCCGCTCACGGGCTGCCCCCGCTTCTTCAGCTCATCCTTGAGTTTGGCCACCGTCAGGGCTGCCACCCACTCGGTGCCGGGCATGGCCGCCACTCCCTCGGCGGTGCCGTTGTCTGAGTAGAGTTGCTGCGATGGCCCCGTTGCCTGTTGATCTTACGGCTCGCGACTTCCACTCGTCCCGAGCCTGCCTGAACGCTGCAGCCAAGCAAAGGGGTGGCATGAGCTGTGCACAAAGGCCTCGGGCGGGCTCCATCGTCCTACACAGCATTTCCTAGCATGCTGCAAACTGTAGCAGGCGCGCATCGGCGAGCCCACCTGCGATCACGCCCTCAGTGACCTGCAGCGTGTCCCTGATGGTAATTGAAAGCAAGCTAGTGAACACCGCAAAAGCATGGGAGCAAAAGCGGCGGCGTATGCGCCCTGCAGCACTGGTTCCTGGCCATCTCCCGAGCGGGAAGAAAACTGGCAGCGCCGAGCATCATGGGAAGGCTCATGGCGCTTCTGACAGTAGGAGCCCTCCTCTGACAGCGTCATTATTGCCCTCGTCTGGCAGCGCCTCCTCTCTGACAGCGCCCTCCTGTGACAGCGCCTCCTTCTGACAGCGCTTGAATCCCTGCCGCTTGAACATGCCACTCACATGGCTGATGGAGCTTTCAAGGTAGGATGCTGACTATCCCGGCCTCTTTAGCACTGGCACCATTTTTGGCACCTCATGGTTTGGCACCCCAAACCATTTTGCCAAAGCTCAAAAAGAACACGGACACGTCCTGGGCAGAGCAGGTGGCCAGTGATACCCCCGGGCCTGCGCGCAAGCACCGGCTGTGGGTGCACCTGGCATGGGCTGCTGCTGGCTCGGTCTTGCCGCCAGACGTGCCTGCCCTTGGTGCTGCAGCAGGCATGTCGTTAGTGCTGGCCCGAGCTGATCGGCAGCCATCTGCAGCAATGCCAGGCGGTTACATTGGGAGGGAGTAAGAAGCTGCACAGTTGGCTTGGTAGGGCAAGCCAACTGGGGTTGGGGACGTCCAGGCAGCTGCTGCAGGCAGACTGCAAAGCCACCTGTTGGAGAGAGCTGCTACCCCGCCCAATCCGTCCATTGTGGCTTGCCCAGACAGCCCAGGGCACGAAAACCATTAATCTTTCCTGAGAGATTAAAGGTTGATGCGTGATGCAGACATGTGCTGACGTGTACATGTTGCAATACGGGCCACATCAGAGCGCATGATCATTCAACAGTGATGTAGTGCTGAGCGTGCTGGGACAGTCCCCCCAAGGAGGCTGCTGCCTCTCAGTTTTTTGCTGGGCCAGCCTGAGCCCTGAAATTTGTGAGCCCTCCCGCCCAAGCTCTCACTTGCAGGCTCTGGACTGCAAGGGGCTGACCACCATTGCGGCTTGCAACGCTTGGCCCTGTCCCAGTTGGTTGGCCTGCAAAACAAGCAGAGGGGGAAGGCCAGACAGCTGCTCAGCCATCCAGCAAACAGACGGGAACGAGCCTCCATGGCCCTCTTTGTCACTGCCCACCCAGACGACGAGAGCATGTTTTTCGCCCCTGCAATCCTGCGCCTGGTGGAGCAGGGGCTGCAGGTGGTGCTGCTGTGCCTGTCAACAGGTGAGCAGGCAAGCAGAGGGGAAGCCCAGAGCTCCTGGGGTGGCGGCGGCAGGTGGAGGCAGCAGACAGCGGGTGTTGCCACAAGAGCACGGCAAGCTGTCCGTGCTCCTCCTGCAGGCAATGCTCATGGGCTGGGGCAGCTGCGATCGCAGGAGCTGCGCCATGCCTGCAGCTTGCTGGGGGTGAGTAGGACATGGCTGCGTTGTCCTGGCCACCTCTCGTCGGTACCTGGTATCGCTGGCTGGCTGCCTGGGCCCCCTCGTCCTGGCGCATCATCGTGTCACTACACCTTAACCTGAGCACGGCTTGCCTGCAGATTGAGGCAGATGACATAGTGCTGGTGGACGACCCGTCGCTGCCAGATGGCATGCTCCAACAATGGCCGCCCGCCGTTGTGGCAACGCACGTGGCACAGGCGGTGCGGCGGTTCAAACCGCAGCAGGTGAGCAGCAGGATGGGCAGACCCTGTCATCCATGGGGCTCGCTGTGTTGGCATCAGAGTTTCCTCCAATCACTTGCCCAGGTCTACACCTTTGATGCGGGAGGCGTGTCGGGCCACCCCAATCACCTAGCTACATGCGCGGGCGTGCTGCGTTGGTGGACAGGTACCCCCAGTAGCAGCAGCTTGAGCAACCTGCCTGAGCTGTGGCAGCTGGAGACGGTGGGGCTGCCTCGCAAGTACCTGGCGCTTCTGGAGGTGCCGCTGTCGCACCTGCTGACGCTGCTGCGGCGCTGGCAGAAGCCGCACCCGCAGAAGAGCTTGTGCATCGTCGTGCGTGCTCGCCCAAGGCAGGCATGGCGTGCCCTACTAGCGCACCGCAGCCAAATGGTCTGGTGAGCTGTAAGACAGCTTTCATCCAACCATTTAAATGGCCTGACAGCCTGTCATTGCTTTCTTCATCAAATGGCACGGCGTCATTCTGCTTCTCTCTACCCCGCTGTCGCAGGTACCGACGCTTGTGGCTGGTCATGTCACGCTACATGTACATCAACACATTTGTGAGGCATTTTTGAAACAAGTAGATACCTGGTTTTCCATCGAACGAACACGCTGTTGATCTTTTAATGCATGCTGAACCCGCAAAACATCAGGAGCACCCCGGATTTTGTATCCCTCGGTTGCCTTTGCTATCCCGGTTGTTCCGTCTGCAACACTTTCCTTCTTCAAGCTCCAGGCTTGTAGGCCTCCGGGTCTTGCCCTGCCAGCATGGGCAGTGCGGCGCCGCCGCCATCCACCAGGATCTCTGCCCCTGTCACGTAGTCGCTGGCATGGCTGGACAGGAACAGCGCAGGACCCACCATGTCCGAGGCTACGCCCAGCCGTCCTGCAGAGTGGGGCATGGCAGGCCTGTCTGTGAATGTGGTGCCTACAGCTCATGCAGCACAGAGCTACACTGCTGCACAGCAGGCAGACCAGCCTGGTTTGCTCCGTCTCACCCAGCGGGATGCGGCCCAGGATGTACTCCAGCTTCTTGGGATTGGCCAGCATAGTGTTGAGAAAGGGAGTATTGATGGCGCCAGGCAGAAGCGTATTCACCTGGATGCTGCAAAACACACCGCTCCACTGGTTTTTGTGTGGTGTGTTTGTGGTGTTTTGGCATGAACCAACAACTCGCACACTGAGTGCAACTCACTTGTCTCTGCCCCAGGCTGCTGCCAGCGACCTTGCCAGCGGCAGCAGGGCGCCCTTGGAGCAGGCGTAGGCCACCTGGGTGCCGGCTCCTGCATGGCGCACAAGCGTCCACATAGGCTGGCTGCGCCCAAACCCAAACCCAAACTAAAGTGCTTCGGCCCAGCAGACCGGCAGTGCCACGCACCCCGGATGCCGGCAATGGAGGAAATGAGCACAATCTTCCCCCTCCCGGCCTGCTTCATGTGTGGGTGAACTGCTTGTGCACTGTTGTAAGCGCCCTCCAAGTTTGTGGCCATCACTTCCGTCCATCCGCTGCAAGACATCAGACAGCCGGCAACGAAGCAGATTCAGTGTTGTTGCACCGCAGGGTGCCTGCAAATCTGTTGCCCCGTGATGGTGGGTGGGCATGAGCGGCGGAACCGACAACACACTCCAGCTCACTCGTGGGAAACCGCATGAGCAGCTTCCAGCCGGCCGATGATGCCTGCAGGCAGCACGGGAATGGCATTGGAAGAATTTGAGCAAAGAGCTTGATCCTGTGTTGCTTTGAGCACGCACTGGAGACATCACCGACAACCCCTTGCCACCCGACTCGGCGCACCTGCACTGGCCACAAGAATGTCGGGACCAACCCCCAGCTTGTCCACCGCGTCTGCCACCGCGGCATCCACCAGGGAACGACGTCGCACATCGCACTTCACCTCGACTGCCTTGCGCCCCATCTCGCGGATCTGGTCGCCCACAGCCGTCATCTGGGCCTCGTTGGCGAAATCTGCCCAGGTGCCCAGGCCACCGGACAGGTGTGAGCGGTGCATGCACGGGACTGGACGGTTGCCGGCGATGGCAATCACGTGACCTGCTATGCCTCCTCTGCCTCATCATACCCCGTACCACCCCGCACCTGCTAGAATTATATCTGCTCCGCAGCCCGCCATGCCCAGCGCGATGGCCGCACCAATGCCCTGCGCCGCGCCTGCATGAAGGAATAAGCGTGGCAATGACAGGGCCGTAACATTGGCACCGGCTGCTTTGGCCAATGGCAATTGTTTCTGGCGTTTTTGGCTAAAAAGCAAGCACCTGTGATCAATGCAGTGGATCCGGACAGGTCAAACAGGCGGTCCGACTTGAAGCGGTCGGCGGCTCCCTAGAGGTAGGACATTCGTGGGTTGTGTTTTGGTTTGCACCCTGCCCCAGGTCTTCTCGCACGGCCTATCATAGCCAGGTGACTGTAACACACACACACACCAGTGGCAGCAACAGCGGCGGCAAGGACAGCGGCGGGAAGGATGGTGCTGCCGACCTTTGTTGCGGGGGCTCTGCAGGCCTCCGTCAGCCCTTGCAACGAAGCAGATTGCGACAGGCATCGGCTGATCATGATCCTCCTGCACGCTTTGGGCGCCGCCCTGCTGGCCCCGAAAAGGAAGCCGCTTCCGGCAGCAGCGGCACACCGGGAGGAGCTCAGCACCCAAGCTTGCATGGCGATCCTGGTGTTTGTCGATGGCGGGAAATGCTGCGGTTGCCGGAATGGCGGAGGCTGCGTGACGCGTGGACCGCCTGCTGCGCGCGGGACGGTGGACCGTACTGCTGCGCTCCGCGCGCTGCTTCTCGATGCTGATGACACCTGTCTTTCGTGGTGCCTGGCCATGGGCGGTTCGGGGCGCTAAGTGACTGCCACGCTCCCATGCGGTCGGACATGCCACTAGGTAGTGCTCGGCGCGCGAAACAAGCTACCTCAAGAAGGCATCCGCGACCGCCAATCGGACGATATGGTGCGGGCAGGCAGGCACCTCATGATGGTGCCTGCCTTACTTCCCCCTCGCCCCCTTGGCGCTTTTTGCTTGCAAACCTACTCTACAACGAGTGGAGCCTGCAGTCTTCTTCTTCTCCTGCTATATCCTTCACTAGCAGGTGGTCAGGCATGGCGGACATCGAGGGCCAGGTCGTGGAGTCCACTGCAGGCCGTCCGGCCTGTCTAGCGGGGCAGACCGTGGAGCTCCAGTGGACCAATTTAACCGTGGTGTCCGCAAAGTGAGAAGGCGGTCAGCCCCGCCTTTGACTGGGGGCGGGGGCGTCGTCCGCTTTGCCGCCGCCGCCCGCAGCCAACCTCACCTACCCCCACCTTCCTTCAGGCACAAGAAGCGCCTGCTGGATGACCTGTCGGGGCACACGGGCCCCGGGTTCACGGCCATTATGGGTGAGGGGTGGGCATGCCCTGCATGCCTCATTGGAGCGATGTGACGCTCCACCGCCGCCATGCGTGCTTTGGCGTCTGTGCGCTGAGTAGCATTTGCGCGCATTGCCTCCTGGCCGACGCAGGCCCCAGCGGTGCGGGTAAATCCACCCTTCTAAATGCGCTCGCCTGCCGATTGGACAAGGGCGCCACGATGGAGGGCAAGGTGCGGCTCAATGGTGGGACGTACGGGCTGGCGCACTTGAAGACGATCGCCAGGTGTGGCTGCCTGTGTTTGACTGCCATGGACCCCATTTCCCGATGCTCCGTCAACCTCCTCTTTGGGAGCTGGAAATGCATCCCCCTCCACTGTGTTGGTGCAATGCAGCTACGTGATGCAGGACGACCTGCTCAATGCACATCACACGGTGGAGGAGACTTTGCTTTACACTGCAAAAGTGCGTAGGAAGCACTGAGAGCCTTGGAATGGCAGGCGCAGTCGCAGGCCAGGTTGTTTGCGTCGACCCCGACTGACCTGCATGCCAGCACCGCCTTGGCTGCAGCTGCGCCTCCCGCCCAGCACAACCGCAGAGGAGCGGGTGGCGCGAATCGAGGAAGTGATTGATGCCACAAAGCTGCAGCACTGCAGGTGCGCGGTGCAGTGCTGCATGCTGCATTTGCATGTGGGGCCCGTGCCTCGCTCGCGTGCCGATCGCGATCACCGTGCTGCGAGCCTGCACCCAAATTCGGGCACCGCAGGCATACCCTGGTGGGCAGCCCGCTACGCAAAGGAATCAGCGGAGGAGAGAGAAAGCGGCTGTGTGTCGCCATGGAGCTGCTCACTCGCCCCATGCTGCTGTTTTTGGATGAGCCTAGCAGTGGCTTAGACAGCAGTGAGTAATCACTGACGAGCCTCCTGCGGTGTTGCAACTCAAGCAGCAGCCGACATCCCGCCACGCATGCCAGCCTGCAAATGCCGCAACGCTGGTCCCACTCAGTCACTTCCGCCTCCTCTCCCTGCTGCTCTGCTGCAGCCACGGCGCTGAGCCTGTGCACCCTGCTGCGCGAGCTGGCAGACACCCGGCAATGCACGATTCTGTGCACGATCCACCAGCCCAGTGCCAAAATCTTCAGCCTGTTCCACAAGCTGTTCCTGCTACAGGTGGGCAGTGTGCAGAGCCTCAGCCGTGCGGCAGCACAGGTCGGCCAGCCTGCATGCCGCATGCTGTCGGTGCGGCACCCACTGCCATGCTTCTCACCCTCGCAGCCCTCGCCTCACCTTGCAGGGAGGAAAGATTGTGTTCCAGGGGGAGCCCTCGTCTGCGGTGACGGTTTTTGCCAGCCACGGCTTCCCTTGCCCGCCACTGACCAACCCGGCAGATCACCTCATGGATGTGATCTCATGTTCGCCGCATGTTCATGCTACTGCGCGGGCAGCCAGCTTTGTCCTGCAGGAGCCACCAGTTATCGAGTGAGTGGGCCGCGGGCAGCTGATCCACCCAGCGGACTTTACTGGCGGTGCATGCTGGTGTGATCAGCAAGGTCCGATTGTACAGCCCTGTTGTTCTCTCCTGTTATCAATCCCTGCCATGTGCGCTGGCTCCTCAGGTTTCCCGAGATCAGCAGCAACCTGGAGCTGGATATCCGGGATCGCATGCCCTGGCGCCGGCAGTACCTCATTTTGTTCAGCCGCTGTTGGAAGGAGCAGCAGCGGCGCTGGCTGACATCATTGACCCAGCTGGTGCAGAGTATGCTGATTGCGGTGCTGATTGGAGGTGCGGACATCTTGCTGGTCACGCACAATTCCATCCCAAGGGGTGCCGCCGACGGTCAGGTTACGCTTCTGTGGTGCTCTGTCCTTGCAGCCGTCTTCTTCCAAATTGGCACCACTCAGTCGTCTGTTGCCAAGCGCCTGCCGTCGCTCTTCTTCTGCTGCATCAACCAAGGCGTTTTGGGGGCTATGGCTGTGGTGAACAGCTTCCCAGCCGAGCGGATCCTCACCCTTCGCGAACGGGGTGGGTGCAGTGGACTTGCAGGGCATGACTTGCAAGCCAACTGGATTGATTTGGAGGCCAACAAGCAGCACAGCCAGCAAGCAGCCAGATGCTCCCATGCCACCTGCCACATGGAGCTGCAACCATTCCCGATCTGTTCCCCGCCAAATGCAGCTGCTGGGATGTACTATGTTAGCGCCTACTTCCTCGCCAAAAGCACTGCCGAAAGCTTGATGTATATAGTTGCGCCCGTCTGCTTCTCCAGCATTGTGTACTGGTGAGCGTGGGGATCAACATGGTGTGTGTGTGCGCGCTATGTTGGACCCAGTGGGATAAGTTTGTCTTCACACCTTGCCTGGCCGCCTGCCCTGCTCAAAGTGACGCACCCGCAACTCTGCCTGCCTGCCTGGCCGCAGGATGATTGGCTATCAGGCGAGCATTGCAGCACTTTCTGGCAGGCCTGATCATCATCGTGTCAAGCGCGCTGCCATTTTAAACTGCGAATCTTCTCTCGCAATGCATGCAAGTTCCTCGCCCCCACCGCAGGCCGTCGCCAGCAAGTTTTTCGTGTTCGCGACTTTCATGGTGCTGTGCCAGCTTGCTGCCGTCAGCCTCGCCCAGGCTGTGAGCGCCATTTGTCGCGATGTCGACACCTCTGTAGTTGTGTTGCCCATGTTCCTCGAGATCACCCGTTTGTTTGGAGGCACCCGCCCTCCAGAAGGATTGGATGATCGTGTTCGACTACATCAGGTGTGCCCATTCGCTGGATAGCATTGTCAGCTGTTGAGAACTTGTCTGCCACATGCGACTTCTGAAAGCATGCTGAACTGCAATGCTGCCTGCATGTTTTGCTGCAGCTACATTCGCTACAGCTACACTGGCATTGCCCAGAATGAGCTAGATGGGCTGGTGCTGACATGCACGTCAGCAGAACTAGCGTAAGACTCTTCGGCTGCTGAATGCCAGCCTCCTTGGCTCTTGTGCAGCAGTGATGCATTGCGTCTGCATTGCATTGCGTCTGCATTCCATTCCTCTGCATGTTATGTGACGAACATCGCCCAGCAGTGCTAAGGGTCCGTTCTGCTCTGTTACCTGCAGGAAAACCAAAGATGGCACTTGCCCTGTGACCTCGGGTCAGCAAACGATTGATCAGCTGGGTTTGGGAGCGCTCAGCATCGGGGCTGATGCCGGCATCCTCGTCGCTTACATCGCCACGTGCCGCCTGATCGCTTACCTGGGTATTCGATTTATCAAGTCAGTGCGGGTGTTGCCGGCGTCGGGGTTGTGCGCCAGGTGCCGGGGACCCCTCCCCTGCTGCCCACGGCAGGCGGGGATCACTTGAAACGGGGTAGATTGCTGGCCTTTTCCGGTTTTGCTTCGGCGCACCCTCAAACACCCTCTGTCCCCCTCTCCCCCTTCCCGTTCTGCAGGTGGTGATGCAATGACGAGGGAGGCAAATTAGAGTCGAGCCAGCTGATGACATGCTCTGATCCTTCGTCTACAACTCAGAGCTCTGTCGTGCAGTGTTCGTTCCCTCTGCCATGTATCATACAAGCTGTACATCAGGGTGCTTCATTTTGTCTGCAATGCAAATCAGCTCGGTGCTGCCACTTGTTACCCCCATCAGGCAACCTGCCCTGAAACATCCGCAGATTTACAGCTTACTATTGTAGCAACTTTAAAAGCATGTTCCCTTCAAAAGCATGTTTTCTCCGACTGAATTGCTCGACCACTAGATGGGCGGGCGGTAGGTCTGGTGCCAGGAGCTGCGGGCCTTGGCGGGGTCTGGCGCGTCGTGGCGGGCGCCCTGGCGGGCATGCTGCAGCAGAAGGACAGCCAGCAGGCGTGTGAAGCATAGACCAATCAGGGCAGGGAGGCGCTTTCAAAGCAGCGCACCATTTCACAAGGCCACCTTACCTCATCGCGGTGATCGTGGTAGTGGTCAGACTCGTGGGGCTTCTCCCTGCGCAGGCAGCCAGAGAGCACCAGGCAGCTAGAGAGGACGTAAACAGTAAACAGTCGGCGTCACATCGGATCGGCGCAACCACGCCCAGCTCGATACGCCTCCCGACTGGGCAATGCGCTACTGAAGTGTCAGCGGGTGGGCAGCGAGTGGGCTTCACCTGCTGCCAAACTGCTAGAAAGCTGTGTTGGGTGGGCCCGTGCAAGCTACCTATGATGAAACCCCTCGTGCGGGCCTTTGCCGTGGACCGGCTCCTTCAGCGCAGGCAGCACCGCCTCAACCACCAGCTGCACAGCCACAGCAACGTGTGCATGCGCCCTTTCTGGAAACCGCCTGCTGCTCATCATTAAGAACGTACAAAGCAAGCTTGCCATCGCCCTTGCAGCCTGCTCGGACGCGGCAATGCACTGCAGCTCCCCCTCCCGTCCATCACACGCACACACACCATGCACGCATTTGTCTCACTGCCACCCACTCACCTCTGCCACCCTCTGCGACGATTGCGGGTTTTGGCCGGTCACCAACTTACCAGATGCAACTGTGCAACGGCAGAGGGGACGGGGAGCGCAGCAGATGCAGGAGTGAACTAGGTGGCCAGTCACTAGTGGCAGTAGCACCAGCCCAGCTGCAGGACTGGCAAACCCGACAGCAGCAAGTGATCTCACCTGCGAAAGGGTGCCAGTCGGGGCCACGCACATAGTCTCCACCCAGCTCCTTCATGCGATCTTCCAGCAGGAACGGCACTGCCTTGTCTTTGCCAACCGCTACCTCCTCGGTATTGGAGAAGCCCGCAACCTGCAGAGGGGCGGAAGCGGCGGCAGGAAGCACAAGCGCTCCCAACTGCTCAGCTCCCTATTTCTACAGGGTACCCAGCCACCGGCCGTATTCAGCTGATGGTGCTATGTACATTAAGCTGTGTCCACCATTGCCTGCCGCACTTGCCTGGTTGCCCTTCAGAATCGAGTCGCCACTGCCGGGAACAGTGGCAGTGACGAGTCCGCAGGGGCCATGGCAGACAGCTGCAGACGGGGGCGCATGCGGGTGTGCGGTCGAGGCAGATGGATGAAGAGGCCCAGAATGGGAGCCCAGGCTGCCTGCAGTGCTCCCACCTGATACCACCTTGCCGGCGCCCCAGAACTGCTCTACTAGCTGCTTGAGGCTGTCAGACGTGCCATCTATCGCGATTCCGTGTCCTCCTGGCAAGAACAGGGCATCATAGGAGTCGATCCCGCGGGCCAGCAACTCCTCCACACTGGGCGTCTCCTTGATCAGCTTGGCAGCAGTCTCTGCGGTGCAGCAAGGTGGCGGCGCAAGTTCGGTTGATTTATCAGCCGGCTGCCTGAGACGCCCCTGCCCAGGCCCACGACGCTGACCATTGTTCAGAAACGCAGCGGCCTGGGCTGTGAAGAAGTCGCCCGAGGTGCTGGAAGCATCCCATGGCACTGCCCCGCCAGCGATCGAACAGATATCGACCTGCAGCGGAATGGGAATGCTCGAGCGGAGAGGGCGGCGGTAACCACCCCAGCAGAACTTGTTAAACCTTCTCTTCCCAGATGCAGGGCCCACACCCGGGCGGGGAGAAAAGGTGCCAAAGGTAAGAACTAAATGAACACTGCCGCCGCCACCGCCACATGTACCACATCCCCACACCTGGATGCCCTTCTCACGCCACAGCAGGTAAGGCGTGGCCACCTCCTCGACCCAGCACCCTGTTGGGCGCCCATCCAGCAGCTGCGTGCCCGACGTGCAGGCGATGAGCACCTTTGCGGCCATTCTGTCAAGCGGCGATAGCGGCGCGGGACGGGAGCAGCGGGGTGAGTGCACACACAGCGCGACCCAATGTCGCATCGCCGACGCCTCCCATCGCACCAGGCAGCTGCCGCGGAGGCAGACGACGCCAGAAGGAGTGCACAATTGTCCACAGAACTTAAACCCACCGTGCAAATGCAACGCTTGAGCTGCCGGCAGAGCGAGGCGGGCGGTCGTTCCAGAAGAAGAACAATGGGTTTGTAGGTGGTTTGCATGAGTGGCATGGAATCCGAGGCGGCGCATGTGTGGAACCCGAGCCCCCCGGGCTTTGCTCGTTGATTCATCAAGATTGAGATGCCTGGCAATAGCCACGCAGAACAAGCAAGGCAGGGAACCCCCAAAATGCGCCATTGTGCTAGCGGCGAATTTCCGCCCTTTGCCTCACTCTGCTCATCGAGAGGGGCATCACATCACATCACTCATCGACCCCCGATGATCGATGCATTTTCGCACATTTCACTTCAGCGCTGGCGATTGAGCCAACGCCATGTCCCCAACTGTTGCCGCTGCCGCCAGCTCCTCCACCGCGGCCGCCACCAGGCTCACAGGTCTAGTGGAGGCCAGGCTGGAGCGGAAGGGCCGGCTCGGCAAATACACGATGGCAGAGGTGGCCAAACATAACCAACCAGCAGATGCTTGGATCGTGCTTCGTGGAAGAGTGAGCTGGGCCCACCCGCCCAGCTGTGCGCCGCTCGAGAGTGCTCACTCCTGCATGGGTGGCGTGCTTGCTGTGCTGCCTAGCTGTTTTGGGTCCTTGCCCTTTCTCATGCCTTCATATGCATTCAATCTAGCATGCAGGTGTACGACATCACGCACCATGTACTTGCACACCCTGGGTGGACCTCCGGCTGCGGCACGTCGCAGCTGCTAGCCATCCTACGGACGCTGGGCACAGACTGCACTGATGAAGTACTGATGGTCCACAGCCCCCGAGCCTTGGCGCAGATGGCACCTTATCAAATTGGCTGCATCCTCGACGGTTGATGTCATCGATGTAGTGCGGCGCTTGTGGAACCGACATCAAACAAAACATGCCTTTCATTAATGCTGCCCCTTTGAAGCCAACACTCACCAGTTTCGTGCGTTGTACCACCACATTTGCCTGGCACGCCACACTGTTGTATGTCTATTACCCTGTTGACTGCTCTACTTTTTCTACTGGCGACGAAAATCTTGCAATAAAAATAAATCAGATGAGTCGACCGAGCAGCGCCTCAGAGGCCACGTTGAGGATCAAAGCTGCGCCCTGGGCCGCAGGCACAGGTAGATGACCGGCCCAAACACAGGCAGCACGCTGAGAATGGACACCAGCGAGTTGTTGTCCCACTTGCGCAATGCCGCATCGTTGGCCATCCAAAAGGGCGCCAGCGCGGTCAGCGTCAAAAAGTCTACAGTCATCACATTGATGAACCTGCACAGGGCAGAGGCAGATAGCCGGTGAGAAATTGAGCAAGCGAGCAGGCGAGCGATCGCGCCAGGCCAGGCACCCGTGCCATGCATGGCCCTTGGATGCCCCAGGAGTGTGGCCGCAGCAAACCAGACCTGCTCTCCTCCAACAGCTTGAAGTAGCTGTTCCACTGCGGTGCGCCTGCCAGCGCTGCTTGTCCCACGCATGCCACGGCACCCGCCAGGCACAGAAAGGCCACCAGCGGGCTCTCCATGCCTTTCTGCATCAGGTTCCCAGGACCCTGCAAATCCTCTGCAGCTGCGGGCACCTTGGGCGGCTCCTTGGGCGGCTGCCACAGCGCCATGAAGGGCAGCAGGCCAAACGCGCCTGCGAGGCGGGGGGGGGGGGGGAGTGGTATGGTTGGGAGTGGGGCACGCGGGCACACACGGGAGGCAGAGCTGGCATGCAAAGGACACCAAACCTCGGCCAGCTCACCAAAGACATAGGAAAGCGTGATGAATGGCCAGGCAGGCACCCCGTTGCCGCTCTTGCCGCTGGGGATGAGCAGCGCCGTGTACACCAGCGGCCAGACGCCCATGATCAGGAACAGCTGCTGCACGATGATGTTTAGCTGCACACCGTCGTCAACGCCCAGCCCAACAAGTTTCTCCAGGAAGTAGCTATCGCGCAGCGGCGTCTGATTGGGCTGCACAGGTTGAGGAAGCAAAGAGGGTTGAGGAGGCGCACTTTTTGGGTCCCGCCCCTACCCAGGTTTAGAGCCACGCCGCTCACCGACACGAACAAAGCATAGCCACACAGCGTCGCCCACAGCAGGCCCAGCCCCAGGCTACTGAGGAGGCTGGTGCCGTCGGGGCCACCTGTCGGCGCTGCTGCAGGAGGCTGTGGCTGCTCGCTGGGCTGCTTCGCACGGGGTTCATCGCCATAGGCGCAGCGGTGCGGCGCTGGGCGGCGGGGTGGGAGCGCTGCTGTGTGGGCCCAACCGCCGATTGCTAGCTGCCCAGGGCGTGCCAGGAGGGCTCCTGGCGGTGGGCAAGCCCCCTTGGCAAGGCGCATTGAGGCGCAGCCCCGGCAAGACGAGGCTTTGAGGCCGCTTGCTGTCGCCATGGCTCGGGATCCAGCGCCAGCCTGATTGGCAGTGCAAATGGCACAAATGCAAAATTGGGGGTTCACGGTGGCCAAAGGCCAGCGCAGCAGCATTTTTTCTGAGCAGCTGAACAGAGCCTCCATCAAACAGCTTTATTATCATAAAGTGGTAGACCTCTCCGCAAGCGGGCTCGCGCAACAGGGGCTCCGTCTTTGTTGACCAGTGCTGCTCGCGGCGGCTGCTATCCCCCTCCCTCGCATGCTAGGAAGACGGGTTTGATCTGCAGCGCGGAGCCTCGGACGCTGCAGCAACTATGGCAACAGCACCTGGCCCTGCCTCTCTGCTTTCAGAGGCCACGCGAGTCAGGCTGCTGGTGAGAGGCAGCGCAGGGAGGCTGCGATCACGGGTTTGGTTCCCGTGCTCCGCGCTGGAGCCCCCACTGAGCCCGCCGGTTGGGCGGCGGAACCCCCGCTGCCGCGGCAAACCCACCTCTTGCCCTGCGGCACATTGAGCCCCGCCGCAGGATGAGATGTTGGGCTCGGTGCGTGACCAGTCGGGGGGCGCATGGTCGGTGCTGGTGCTGGACGCTGTCACCACCAAGGTGCTGTCCAGCGTGTGCAAAATCTCCGACATCATGGACTTTGGCGTCTCTTGTGAGTGGGTTTTAAACGAGGCTCGTGCTGCGTGCTGGGCCCTGCTACGCTAGCACGGCAGCCACCCCAGCGTTTTGGGAACCGGCAGTCCACCAAGCGAATGTGGACCGCCGGTGCACTGCAGTGGTGGAGGACATCACAAAGCGGCGGGAGCCGCTGCCGCAGCTGGTGGGCATCTACTTCATCGCCCCCACCGACGACAACATCAAGCAGCTGACCCGAGACTTCAGCCTGGCCCAGGCACCCCAGTACAAGACCGTCCACATCTTCTTCTCCTCCAAGCCCGCCCCGCAGCATCTAGCCGCCATCCGTGAGGCGCCGCACCTGGTCAGCCGGCTGCGGACGCTTAAAGAGGTGGGCTGCGCGGCTGGGTTGCGAGCTGTGACGTGCCGACGGGGGGGATGCATGCGGGCCAGACGGCAAATTGCACACTCCTGGATTTAGCCTCTCCTGCTGCCATTCCATGCTGCTATCTCCATCTCCTTGGGTGCTGATTCGCTCCTTACAGGTGGGGTTGGAGTACCTGCTGGTTGACAGTCGCACCTTTGTGACCAATGAGGAGGGGGCGCTGCGCACCTTCTTCGGTGCCACTGTAGACTCTTCCACCAGCTACCGCGTGGAGATCGAGGTTCGGCGGCTGCTTGAATTGGTGGTGGTACTGCTGCTGCTGTTGCTGCCGATTGCTGGCTGTCAAAAGGTGTTGCTTGTTTCTGTTGCTGGCATCTATCAATGCCACTATGGGGGGCTCTAGTCACCTCGCTGCTGACATGCGGCGCACTGGCCGCTGCCGCCTGCCGTCCCTCCACCATTTGGCGGCAGGTGCTGACGGCGCGGCTGGCCACAGTGTTTGCCACTCTGCGCGAAATGCCCGCCATCCGCTTCCGAGCCGCGGCACCCCCCGGCGAGGAGTTCCCCCCGGGGCTTGAGTCCCGCCTGCTGGTGGCCCAGCGCATCGCAGTGGAGCTGCACGAGCGGCTGGCAGCGCTGCAGCGCTCGGGGCAGCTGCCGGAGCGGGAGACGTGTGAGCTGATCCTGACTGACCGCGGGTTTGACCCCGTGGCGCCGGTGATCCACGAGTGGACCTACGAGGCTATGACATACGACCTGCTTGGCGACTCCGCCTCCCTCAAGGACAACGTGTTTGTCTATGACGCCGAGACGCAGGGGGGTGCGCCTTGGGGGTGGCTGCGGCCAGAGTATGAAGCAGCAGCCGGGGGCAGGCAGCAGCTTGGTGCACCTAATGGGTTGGCCCTGGCCCCACCTCACGTTGCTTCCGCCGTGCTGCATGCCGTTGCCTGCCGCCATCTGTAGGCAAGGTGGACAAGAAGGAGCACATCTTGGATGAGCGGGACTCGCTGTTTGTGGACCTGCGACATAAGCACTTTGCCGCCGCCTCTCTGAAGATCAGCGGCCTGCTGGATGAGTTCCGGGCGCGCAATGCCAAGGTGTCTGGGGGCAAGAGCGGGCGCGGAATGGGGGACCTGGAGCTGCGCAACATGAGCAAGCTCATCCAGAGCCTGCCGCAGTACAGGTGCGGTGCAGAGGAAGCTGGGCGGGGTTCAATGACTGGAGCGCATGCACGACCCGCAGCCATCTGCTGCGTCTGCCCAGATGCTGCCGCCGACCCTTTCCATGCACCTGCTGTGGCCCGCCTAGCAGGGATCAGCTGTCCAAGCTGGCGGCGCACGTGGAGGTTGCCAGCAAGATTAACACCTCAATTGATGCCGGCTCTCTCACCGATCTGGGCAAGCTGGAGCAGGATCTGGTGTATGGTGACGCTACCAGCAAGGAGGTCATCGCCTTCCTCACCGCACACCAGGGCATCCCCGCAGCAGATAAGGTGCCCCTTACCTGCCCGCCGTCTGGACACTTGCCTCCCGTCCGCCTGCCTGCCTGCCTACCCTACACTGCCTGCCCTGCCCTGTTTCCCTCTCTCAACTGTCTCCCCAGTGCCTCCCACCGCAGGTGCGCCTGCTGATGTGCTACAGTGCCACGCACCTGGAGAAGCTGGACCCCACCCGTGAGGCGCAGTGGCAGAAGGTGGCGCGGCTAGCCCCTGAGGACATGGCCATGGTCACAAACCTGGAGTACCTGGGGGTGCCAGGTAAGGACATTGTAGAGGGGATGGGGAGGCTACAAGGGGTTTGGAGACTGCTAGAGGCCTGTGAGTGCTGCTGCTCACTCCGGCTGCCCAGCACTGGTCGTGCCGCTTCTGCCCCACCCGCCTCCCATTCCCGCCGCACCCGGCACGGCCCTGCCTGCAGTGCGCAAGCGCAACAAGGGGGGCGGCATCAGCTTTGGTCGCAAGCGACGGCGTGCCGTGCGCAAGGATCGCGAGCCTGACGAGGATGACGCAGAGTTTGCGCTCACACGCTTCGTGCCCATGCTGCAGGAGGTGCTGGAGGATGCAGGTGCGCCCCGGAAGCATGCGGGGGGCGGGCAGGGCAGGGCTGTGTGCCACCGCGGGAAAGACAGGGGATTGATGAGCACAAATGTGGCATAGTTGCAAAGCTGTTCACCCCCCAAAATACTCCTTTCTGACCCTGTCCCTGTTTGTCACTGCGTGTCCCTGCCCCTGCAGCTGCCGGCAAGCTGTCAAACGACGAGTACCCGTTTGTGTCGGCGCCCCCGTCGCCCTCCAGCGCCCGCGCGGGCACCAGCCTGCCCAGCAGCACCGACACCACACCCAAGGCGGGGGTCAGCGTGCGCAGTGTGCGGACCACGGGCGCCTGGGCCAAGAAGAGCGGCGGCGGCACGCCCGACAAGCCAGAGTCGGCCAGGGTAGGTGGCTGCGGGCAGCATGATGGGGTGGGTGCGGCAGTGGCTTGTTGTTTTTTCAGACGCGTCTGGAGCGAGTGCTGCGAATAGATGAGGGCTGCAGCATGCAAGCACCCACTCAATCTTTTCTGCCACTGCCTGCAGGGCCGCCGCCTGTTTGTGTTTATCGTGGGCGGCGTGACCTACAGCGAGATGCGTTGCGCTCATCGCCTCAGCGGGCGCCTGGGCCGCGATGTGTTCCTGGGCGGCACGAGCGTGGAGACGCCGGCCCGCTTCCTGCGCCATGTGGTTGACCTGTCCAGGCCAGACCACACGGCACTGGAAATCGACGGCGGTGGCGGCGGCGGCGGCTTCTTCCGCTTCTCGTAGATTAGCTTGCTGCGGTAGCAGTCACGTGCCCCAATCTTTCAGAGCTGCCCCATGTCACTCACTTTGCCGGTGTTTGGCTTCTCGCAAGGTTGCCCTGCTCCATTTCCATGCTTTCCCGCTGCACCTAAACAACCCACTGTCTGCAAAGCTTCCCGTGTTTAAAGAAGCAAATCACAATTCAGCAGCAGCATGTATCTTGAGGAAAACAGGAAAATAGCAGAATGGACAAGCAGTTGGGATCAATCAGGATCAATCGTCACGCCCACCCTTCCCTCCGCCCTTTTGGCCACCGCCGCCTGTGCCCCAGGTGCTGCGACGAGCCGCCTTACGGGCCCAGGGCAGCAGGAAGCAAGCCACCACCAGGCTACCCGCCCACAGCAGCACGCCAAACAAGGCCAGCCGCGCTGCGCCCATGGCGCCGCCGCTGTTGCTGCCGGTGCCCTCGCCGATGCGTTTGATCACCGCTCCACGCTTGCCGGCTCCGAGACCTTCTTCTGCCAAGCCCTCGTCGCCATCCAGCAGACCCTCTTCCAGTAGCCTATCTGAGCCTGCTTGCCCAATGCTGCCAGTGTCAATGGTGTCGCCAATGGCCACATCTGCCACAGTTGCAGCACTTTCTTCCTTCTCCACCGCCTGCTGCTCTTGGAGCACCTCCTTGTCCTCGTGCAGCTGCTGCTCCTGCCGCTGACCCTGCTCTGCCGCACCACCAGTGCGTGCCGCGGTGGCACGCCCGTCGGCCCCGCCAGTGACGGCACCCTGGGCAGCCTTGTACTCCTTGCCCTGCGCCGCCAGCCGCAGGCAATCCTTGACCTGCAGCCAGTGAGGTAGAGCAGCAGTAGTTCAGGCACGTAGCAAGACAAACAAGGTGCAGAGGGCAGCAATCTCCACAAACTGTTTGACCACAGCCGGGTACATCAAACAGTCGAGTTTGTGTGCTGGTAGGACCTTTGCAGGTTGACACGCACCTGGTCTAGCGACCAGTCCGGATGTCCCGTGCACTTGAGACGTAGCTGCTTTGTCTGCTCAGCCGCCGCCTGTTTGTCGAGCACAGCGCTGCCGCCGCCACGCAGCCGTGCTGCGCTGTCTGCCACCAAATCCTCCTTGGTGCGCTGCGGCTTGTTGTCAGCTTGCACCTGTGCAGTTCACAAACAGCAGGCGAAAGAAAGGGTTGGGGGGAGATTGGAGGGTGGATGCAACACAAGGCACACAGGGCAGGGCGCGCATGCACATGGCTAGTTTGTGCCCAGAGGCAGGGCAGCAAATGCCGGTCATCCCTGCTTGCCAGCACTGCGATAGACAGCGGCTGCCAGCTCACCTTGTGCTTGACGGCCTTGGCAGCAAGAGCTGCCTTGCCCCCCTTCCGCGGGGTGCAGCGCTGCATGACAGATGTACAATAAACACTGGAAGAAGGACAGAGGCAAGCCTGGCGACCAACCCAGCACGATTCAGGGTAGGCACGCGTTGTGTAGACCGTGCTGTTGCACCCCAAGTGCTGTGGGCAAGCTCAAGCGCCATCCATCTCAGCTGGTGGATGCCTCCACCTGGAGCTCACCTTGCACGACAGGGCGCAGTTTTCGTACATGTAGCCCTGGTTGTTCTCACACTCGCCCATCTCAGCCCACTCATGGCACCGACTCTCTGCAGCAGGGGGACAGGGAACTCCAACAGTTTAGGCGGCAAGTGGCAAAACTGCGCCGTGGCCTCCTGCGTGCCTGTGTCACCCACCTATGTCGTGGCAGGGGTCCGGCAGCTCCAGCATCGCGTACACCTCCTCAAACTCCTTCATCAGAGCTTCCGCCTGCGTCAGCACCGGCGGCAGAAATGGCAGCCAAAAGATGGGGCACAATGGTATGCCAGCAGAGCAGAGCAAGAGTAGTGCTGCCAAGCCAAGCCGCAGTACAGCTCCACAGTGCCGCCGAGCAAGGGTAAACTATGTGTGCTCAACCAGCTCAGCGTAACCCACCCACCTTGCCACACTCCCGCTCCAGCTCCTCGCTGGAAGGGCAGTACTTGCGGTGACGCTCGCAGAAGGCGACATTTAGGGTCAGCGGCACCTGAAGGGCAGGCATAGGCGGCAGGGTTCAAGGCATGCATCCTCGCAGGCACTGCTTGGCGCTCTGCCACTCAGCAGCCTGCAGTGACTGCTACAGCGCCGGTGCACTGTTCATGCCAGGCAGCACCGCCACGCACCTCAATGGACATGAGGTCCCGCAGCAGCGCGGCGCCGCTGGTCTTGAAGGAGCGGGCGTTGGGCGGGTGGGCGAACAGGCCCTTACGCGACTCACGCGGACTTTTGCTGCAGCCAGGCAGGGCCGGGTGAGCAGGGCTGGATCACCAGTGCCGACATGCCAGGGTGCAAATGCATAGGAGGTGGGCTGGGCGACCAGCAGGGCGTCGACCGCGCCCCCTCCCAAGTCTTACCCAATCTCCCAGGGCGGGCAGCTCAGCGGGTCGAAGCTGTAATGCCAGTGTTTGTCAAACGAGTAGTCGGTGCCCGGCACATTCCACAGCAGGCCATAGTGCAGCACCTTGGGCGGCTCTGCAGGCAGGCAGAGGGTACACAGCAGACAGAAACATGCTATTAACGAGCTTGAGTTGCAGCTGCTCTCCAAGCTGGCAGGAAATGGTGTCGCTGTGCTTTGCCTGCCAATCTGTCGCCTTGATCATGAACCCCGCTCCACTCTGTCTGCCGCTGCCGCCACCGTCGTTGCCATCATGTTGCTGTGCTGTGCTTGGTATGGGACTCACCGACAACTTCATATCCGGGGTAGAGCATGGCGGTGTGGTGCACGTTGTGCCACACGTCGGCAGCGGCGCAGCCATAGCTGTAACCGTACATCTCGCTAATCCAGGGCCGGTCGCCCTTGTGGGTGGAGTAGGCGTCGCCCGTCAGCTCCCAGGCCTGCACATGATGGGGCCGTGCCGAATGGTATGCATGCGCGTGCTTTTGTCCTCCGCATGTGCCGCGTGCTGTTCAGCCTCTGCGAGCTCCACAGGGCACCGGCATGTGGCGGCATCCTCACAGCGCCCACCGCCTTTCCATGCGCTTGCTCTCTGACTCACATCTGGGTCGAATCGCACATCCTCGGTGTACTTGAGCCACCCAGGCCCCACACGCCTTAAATCCTCCACATTCATCAGCGTGAAGCCGCCCACCTGGTCGCCGCGTCGCCCACGAGGACCTGACAGCGCAGCAAAGGCAGGCCACGCAGCAGGGTAGGGCTCGCGGCAACTGCTGAGCACCCCTGGCAGGAGCAGCACGCACTCGCTGCCACGGGCCTTGCTGCCATTGTGCATGGTGTATTCCGCCCCATCCTTCCCTCCTACCTGCCATGGTGTCGTTGCGGGGCAGCACCCAGGGCACGTGCTTCATGGCCAGCGCATTCTTCACTCCCTTCATGTAACCAAAGTAGGCCGCCACTGCCAGGCCCGGCTTGGCGCCCGCCTCCTGTAGCCCACGGCGGGGGCGGCAGCAGTGACTGAGAGACGGGCCTCCACGCCGCGCCGCTTGCCGCAAGCAGCCTGTCAGGCGCATCTACCGCCGCCCCTGCCCCCCACCACAAAACATGGCGACCCGTCCTACACACCTCTGGCGTGAACGGCTCCCGCATGATCATGTCGGCATCAATGACCAGCACATACTCCTCCTTGACATCGTTCTTGGCCAGCCAGTCAATGATGGCCACAGGCTTGTTGTAGGCAGAGTAGATGTCGCCGTTGCGAGGGTGGCGTGTGTACGAGGGCGCCACATGGGTGGGCACCAGGTCGCGGTCCGCCTCTGGAAGCTTGTCGTACTCCTCCTTGGTGCAGCACATGATGCGGGTGATGGGGCCTGGCTGCCCCGACTTGCGGTGGCTGTAAAACATTCCTGCGTTTGTAAAACGTGAGGCGGAGGGCAGGGCGGTTGGCCAATGGGCGATGCTGGGCGAGGGGCTGGGTATGCCGTTGGTGCAGAGTTTACCCCCGCACCTAGCGTTTGCCAGGAAAAGTAGGCTGAGCACTCAGTGGTGATGACCTGCACGCCAGGGGTGCGACGAGCAAGGTGGGCAGACCAGCGCAGGCAGGCGGCGGCAGGCGGCGAGGAGCTGGGCATGCTGGGACCCCCGCAATCAGATTGTAGTGAGACTGGGTTGCAGGGGTTAGCCGAAACCCTCGAGGCAGCAGAAGGAGGGCCCAGGCGCATGGTGCAGCTTGAAGCGAAAGACAGCAGCGCAGCAGGCTGCGCTGCAGCAGCATAGGGCGATCACCGTGTGCACTGTGGCTGCGCTGCAGAGCGCCGGCAGGCCCCCCAGCAGTCCGACTATTAGGACCGCCAGCCCTGCCCTCATCACGGTTCGTGCTATCGCTGCCAACCGCCTGCAGGCATTCCCAGGATTGCTGCAGCACCCCACACGAGGCGATGGCTTGCCAGTGGGTCTGGTCTCAAACTCCGGAGGCTGCTAGGGCAAGGGGCTCGGCGATTGATCGACTGAGGTTGGCCATCGACTCAACAGTGCACGGTTACATGCCAACCTGCAGGCCAACCTGGCGGCGGGTGGCGCAGCGCCGTCCCAGCGTGCGCAAATGACAACAGGGAAATTTCAGGATGCTACCCGCCCGCCAATGTTGCACCAGGCGGCCGAGCTACCGCTTCTTGTACTGGCAGGCGCGCAGCTCGGGCCACTCCAATGAGCGTTGCCGGTCGCCGCCGCCGTTGACCTTGTGCTGCATGTCCTGGCGCTGCAGCTCCAGGACTAGGAAGTGGCTGTTGCTGGTGTCCTTGCGCTTGACCTGGAACCCCAGCTCCGCCAATGCTGCCAGGAAGGCGGGCAGCACGCTGTGCCCGCCGCTGTGCATAAACCGCGACTGCACCTCGGCGATCCACAGCCAGCCCGTGGGCTTGAGGACACGGGCCGCCTCAGCCAAGAAGGCGCCATAGTCTGTGCCCATGAGAGAGAGGCAGAAGATGGCGGCATCCACGGCGGCGTCCGGCAGCGGCACGGCCGCCATGTTGCAGGCGATCACGCCTGGCACGGTGGCTGCCAAATCAAAGCTGTGCACAGTCTGCGCCACGGTGGCCGCGATCTTTGCGTCGCCGCACCCCAGGTCTGCCACAGTCCATCCCAGTGGCCGGCCGCGCAGCCAGCGGATGGCCTGATCTACAGGTTGCAGCGGCCAAGCCTTGGTCTGCTCGCGGAAGCCTGCAGGTTGTTCAGCATGAGCCGGCAGTGAGAGGCAGTGCGGCTCACTGCTTCTTAGCTTTGTTTGGTGCTGTCTTGCAATGGCATGGCCCCTCACCCTCGTGGTACTGCTCCATCAGCTCCGGCTGCTGCTGGATCATCTCCAGCGCCGCTGCGCCGTCGCTCGTGTACAGTGTCTCGTTCAGCCAGCGGAACCGCCCGCCCTGCAACCGCTGCCGCATCTGCTGCAGTAGGCTGCCGCCTGCAGGGCCAAGATGAGCAGAGGTTGCAGAGATGCAGACAAGGGCGGCCAGGCGTCTGTAGTGCGCCCAGCAAGGGGCGGGAGCAGCGAGTCAAGCATCACAGCTTACCCTTGCCATTTTTCCCCCGGCCTGGGTGGGACAGGACCGGAGGCCTGCTAGCTGCCGTCTGGGGCTGGTGCGTGGCAGCGGCACTAGGTGGTGGCGGTGCTGCCGCTGTCCCAGGAGCGTCTGCCTGCACTCCTACCGTCTCCTCCATCGCTGCATTCTGCTTCTTCTTGTCCTTCCTCTTCCTTTCTCGCGTTGCGCCTTCGGCTTGCAACAGCGGCTGCAATGTTGGGGCCTCTGCTGCCGCGTCTGCAATCATCTGCTTGAATTTGTTCTTCATCTTGCGCTTCTTAACAGCGAAGCCATCAAAATCGCCTGAAGCCGCCATCTGGGCCGGGAACGGCACCAGCCCAATTCTTGGAGGCCTACAGCAGGTTTCAAGAGGGACCTAACACTGTACATGGGAGAGCAAAGCCGCCCGCCTCATGTCAAAGGCATTGGCAGCCTGGCGCCAGCGCCGCCAGGCGTGCGTCATATGGTGTGGCCACACACACACCCGGCGGAATTGCAGTTCTACACTTTCACAGTGTCAATTCACTCGACTGAGGCAGGAAAAAAGGGCATGCTAAGCCGCCGTGCGCCGGCGCCTTTTGATGGGCTGGCCCGCATGGTTGTGCTGCTCGTCCGACTCCTCCACGACCACCACCTCTTCCTCTTCCTGCTGCTGCTGCCGCCTGCCCCGCTTCTTTCGTCCAGTCTGGCCTGCAGATTCATTGCGCGAGGCAGGCAGAACCAATAGAATCAAGCATCCTGCAGCCTGCCGCTAGTTAATGCCGGCACCAATGTCAAGCACCCCTGGGCTGCGCGCGTACCTCCTGCTGCTGCGCCGCCACCGGCAGCGATATCACCCAGGGCCAACTGTGCATCCAGCTCTGCAATTTGGACCTCGACACTCTCCAGCTCGCTGCGACACTCGGCCTCTACCTGCTCTGCCTGCTCCTGCATATGCATGCAGTGACGTGTCAGGGCACCAGCTGCAGAACATGCAGAAATCACTTTACATACATGCAGCACCAGCTTGCCTGCGCCGCATCTGCCGCCCTCCTGGCACGTAGCAGCTCTACCCACTCTTCCAGCAGAGCTACCTGCTCGGCGGCCTGCGCAGCCGCTGGATTCTGCATCGCAGCGAACCAAAAGACAAATGATGATCTGACCCATGTAGATCTCACCTTGCTGCAACTAGAAAATGTGAATGATGGCAAGCCCCACCAGCTGACAGCGTGTGCGCACCTCGCCCAGCGCGCCGCTGCTCCCAAACCGCATGTCTGCCTTCTCCAGTGCTGGGACCTGGAAGCTGGCACCGCTGACCACGCCATTGGCCATGATCCTCCTACCATCCAGCGACAGAAACATGCCCGTCCCAATCCTCAGCTTCTGCAGATGAAGCGCAAGGGTGGTGTGAGAGCAGGCTGTTTGCTCAGTTGTTGTGCAAGCAGTGGAATCATCTCACCTGGCTCAAAAACTCCTTGTATTCCTCTGCATCCTGGAGCGTCTCAAACACAAGCATGTTGCTAAGCTGGCTGAACAGGACGTTGGCACGATGGCCCTTGTGTGTGGGGCGAACCAGGTTGACAGCATACCCTAGGCAGCCGCGTGGCCAGTCTGTGGCCGACATGCCCACACCCTCGGCTATAAGTGTCGGGCGGCGGTGGTGGTGATGCAAGAAGAAGAGAGGAGCAACGCAGTTAGAGTGGAGGCAGGGCCCTGCTGACCGAGGGGATTGAAGCCGCCACGAGGTTTGGGCCACCAATTTGATGACCAACGGCGGGTCAGCATTTGCCTGCTTCTCGACTAACCTGTATCCCGCAGCTTGCTGATGGCGGCCGTGTGTGGCAGTGGAATGGCCAGCGGGGGATCGGCTCCACGGCACGCAGCAGCATGCAGGGCGCGTGCGCGCTGCCCCGCGCTGGCAAATCCGGGCGTGTCTCCATTCTTGGCGTTTGACCCCAACATCATCGTTGCTGGCAGCATGTCTGGCACAGGGTAATCCATCTTGACCAGCATGGCCGCTACGCGCTGCCGCGCCGGTATGTCCTGTACCACAACTGTGGCCAGCTGACTGCGGCACGCAGCAACCAGCACTGCTGACAGGGCCTTGTCATCCACGGTGGCCAGCTGCGCAACCACGCCTACCAAACCGGGGTCGCCTGCAAGGCTCCGAGCATGATTGCAGACCTCAGATGCCACACCAGCATGAGCATGTACTATTGCAGTCCAAATCCAGCAGAGCCCACCTGACTGCAGGATCCTATCAATCGAGGCCGTCAGGGTGCTCTTGGGGTTGCCGTATCGCGCCTCCACCACATCCTCAGGCTCTTCCACAGCTGCTGCCTCGGCCTGTCGCCGTGCAGCGGCCAGCTGCTTCTTAGCTGCATTAAGGGTGTTGGGCGCAGGCGCAGGCAAGCCTTCCTCCTTGCTGGCCATGGCCTGCAAGTAAAACACCCCCAGTCAGGTTTTCAAGTTTGCGCTGCGGGCAAGATCCATCAAGCGCCTGGCGCATGCAGGCAGTACACATGGAAGGCCGGCTAGAGCTCCAGAACCCACCTGCTGCGCCTGATGCTGCCGCTCCTGCGCTTCGGCCAAGGCTTGCTGCGCGCCGCTGATGCGCAGGTTGAGCTCCTCCCGCCGCTGCGCCAGCTCGCCGCGCTGCTGGTTTAGGCGCTCAATGTGTGCAAACCTGAGGCAGGCACAAGCCAGGGGCAGGCAAAACTAGATTGGGCGTTGCCACATCAAAGTCAACCACATCTTTCGTCCGCAGGGCCGCCTCCACTACGCACCTGGCTGCATCATCGGAGAACAGCACCGGACAGCTCCAGCAGACAGCCCAGCCATCGCCATCTGTCTCCAACTCATGTGCTGAACTAGGGTACAGGCCCAGCGCTTCGCACACCAACTCGCACTGCAGGGCGCCACTGGCGGCATGGCCTACATGCAAGAGCAGCAGGAGATGTTGGGCTAGTGTCTTGTGCAGGACTGTGAGGGAGTCATGCAGGAAACTTGAAGCACCAACTGTCGTCAGACACACACCTGAGCCCTCTGCAATGGACAAGTCCCCCAGGAATGCCCTGCCCCGCTCATCCGTCTCCTGAGGGGCCAAGTCGTGGCCACTCTGCAGCTCCGGCAGGTGCGAGGAGCTGTCTGCAGCGGCGCCAGTTGGGAGCCGCAGGCGACACCGCACCTGCAAGCAAGCTGGCAGCAACGGTGAGTGCAGCACAATACAGAAAACACCCAAGTCCTAGAGTTGCACATACGCACAGTGCAGGAGCATCAGCATACTCACCTGCACACCGCAAGCGCCTGCCGCATTGCCATAGACGTCCTGCAGCTGCACTGCCGCATTGCGGAGAATCAGCCGCTGTTTGCCACTGCTGCCATTAGTCACAGCCACCTTCTCGGGCAGAGATGCCGCCTCCAGCCTGCAGAGTGCAGATGGTCAAGCAAGCAAATGGCGCACCCAAGCGTCGCCAGGCACTCAAGTCGCTATGGCCGTGCAGCAGCAGGGGAGATGACCATCTCTCGGCTACACACCTCATGGTGACGGGCTGGCACGGATGCACTTCAAAGCGCACGCTGGCACTGCGCAGCTTGGCATCCTTGTTGGACAGCCCTGCTGCCAAGTCGGGCCGCGCCTCCGCATACTCGGCCACGGCAGTGTAAGTGCCTGCCGCCGTCAGCTCTGGCAGCTGGAAGACATAGTGCCCATCCTCTGTTTGCAGCTCAACTGGCTGATCGGGCTGCTCTGGGGCAGGCAGCATGTAGCTCACGACATCATTCTTGCCGCCGCCTGCACGGCAGTGAAGAGCACGGTGAGGGCGGAAGCAAGATGAGCATGCGGCACTGATAACATGACCACGAGACTGAACCAAGGATGACCTGCAGCCAGGCCCAGAGCCATCTCATCCCCAGCCAAAACTGGAAGCAGGCATATGGCCAGATTCAATTTCACCTGGCGGCGAGACCTTCAAGGCCAGGCTGGCAACCGCCACCTCGGGCGGCAGCGACAGCCCATTCTCCGTCATCACCGCCACATGCAGCTCAGAGCAGGTGCCCGCCTGGCAGCTGCTGCTCTCCAACACCTCTGACAGCAGCACCCGCAAGTTTGTCACCGCATTGAGCTGCTGCATGATCTGCAGCAAAGAGAAGCAAAACTTGATTGCATGGCACGCAGGCCCCTTACCCAGTGCATCATGTAGGAGGGGAAGGGTCCTGACCCCAGAACATTTACGAGGACACCAGAACACTTACAAGGTGCAGCACAGCGTCTTGGACCGCCACTTTGCGGCTGGCACCCTGCACCCGCAGCGCATAGCTTCCTGCTTCATCCGCCACCACCCGCACATCTTTAAACACTGCAACGCCCTGCTTCAGCTTGATCTTGTTGCCACCACTGACTGACACTGAGGCGGCACGGCCAGTTCCGTCGGTGGCCAATGCTGAGCTGCACAGGGAGACCTGCGGGAGGCAGCAAGACCTGAAGGTTGGATGGCACCTAGCACCCAACTTTTAAAAGTGCAGAGGAGAAGACAGCATCATGCCCAAGTTCAGCAGTTGGGAGCCGCACCTCAAAGTTTTCGCCGGTGGTGGGGTTGCCCGCCGAATCGCACACACGCACGCGCAGCTGTGGGATGGCCATCTTGGTGCCGCACTCAAGGGTGGCAGGCCCCTCCACAGCCAGCTGTGCTGGTGGCCCTGCACGCAGCTCCACAAACAGGCTGTCCTCCCCCAGAAGTGAGTTGCTGCCTTCGCCCCCAGTGTCGCGCACGGTAATCTTCACACGCCTGGGGGGAGGGCAAAGCAGGTGGGGGCGACCGTTGGGCAAGTGGGCTGTGCTGTTGGCGCACCAAGCTCTAAGCATGGAGCTGGGCTGCATGGAGATGGAGTGTGCCATTGATTTATAAATAATTGCTGGGTGCTGGGAGGCGGGTGCTTGTCAGGCAGCAACTCACTCACCCCGGGTGCCCAGACACAATCATGCGCACAGCGTACACCTGCTCGCCGCCCTGTGACACCCAGCCCTGCTCCCACTCCTGCTCGTTGTACTGCAGCGGCCCCTCACTCTCCAGCGTCAGCCCAGGCAATGGCAGCGCCGCACTGCCGCCGCCACATCTGCAAAGGTAGCCCGGAGGGGCAGATTTAGAGGCATGGGGAGCGGCCAGAGGCGCCGGGTTCATGTTTTGCAGCGAAAGCAGGACCGCAGCCTGCAACCAACCTATTGTTGAAGGCATCGATGGCTTCCATTTCTAACGCAAACGGCTGCCCACACTGCACCACGCCAAGAACCTCACTGTTCTGGCTAGTCACCTGGTCCACCATGCTGCAGATGCAGATGGGACAAGAGGTGGAAAGGTCTGTTTGTGCGCTCGCCAGTTTGTGCATGATTGCAGGTGATGAGGGCTGTGGTGCAGGGTTTGAGAGTACCTGATTGTCCAGCTGGCAGGCTCGGCAGGTACACCGCGGATCTCCAGCGGCATCTCCAGCATTACTGCTGGGTCGATGGACGTGAATCGCATCCACTGGTTGGACTCATTTGCAACCGACTCTGGCACCTGCATGGGCAGGCAACGGAGACAGTCAGGCAAGGATTGCCCCAGCAGTGCGAGAATGCCGACCCAGCCAAGAAGAGGCCCACAAAACAAATGTCATCAAGCGCTGAGCAGCCGACAGCGGTACCTTGACAGGGGGCAGCTTGAACCCTTCTCCATCCCAGGTGAACTTCTTGCTGCCGCTCTTCCATGACAGAGTGACTTTGCCCGTCAGCTGCTGTGCTGCCGGGGTGCCCCCCTCGTCCAGAAGCACAAAGCACAGGCCCACAACTGCAGCAGGAGGCAAAGCATACAAACACCATGGGCCGCTGCCGAGGTATGGGACAAGCGGCATCTAGCTGGTGAGCTGCCTGTCCACGTGTTCTGATCATCCCCTCACCTGAGCTGCCTGCCGACACATCGTCCAGCAGCGCCACTGTGATCGGCCCATCGTCGCCTTGCACCTCCTTAGTGGGCAGCGGCTGCCCATCCCGCAGCACCTGGATGCTGGTCGGCATCATTGAGGGCTCCACTGCCAGCGGGAAGCTGCAGAGGCCAGGGCAAGCTTAAACTTAACGGTTAAACCTTAACAGGGTGATAATGCTCATGCCAAGTCTGCGGCTGCACGCTAGCATGCATTGCCTCTCCTGCCAGCAGGGGAGGCCACAGTCTCACGTCAGAGCGGTGGTGGGGTCTGCCACCGCCACTGCTGCCTCGGTGCTGGCATTGCAGGGGTAGCTCTTTAAGCTGAGTTTGAAGGTGGCGGGCCCGCTGGCGCCAGTGGAGCTGACGCCAACTAGACCTGCAGGTAGGTAGGGAACAAGCGCAAAGGAGCCGAGCTCCTGTGAGGAGCAGGCAGCTGTCATGGGCAGGAAGTGCATTGCAAGCAGCCGACATGGCAGGCTAGAGCGTACCCTCAACAGTGGTGATGCCTCCTCCACTGGGGGTAAATTCTCTGGCCTGCGGTCCCGTGGCCTGGCACTCTGCCAGCACTGTAAACCCCAAGTCGGCAGATGGGGCAGTGGGGTTGCCCCAGGCGTCAAAGACTACAACCTGGAACGCCGCCAGGCTGCCTCCGCTCTGCAGCGTTACCACTCCTGCGCCGCCATCCTGTTGTGCTGCTTCCCATGGGTGGCCAGGTAGCAACCGCAGGCACTGCGGTGCTCCCGCTCGCAAGCGCAACGGCAGTTTCACCGACTCCAGCTCCGCGCTGCCCTGCAGGCTGATGCTCAGCTGCACTTCTGCTGCTGGCAGGCTCTGCTTGGAGGGCTGCACCTGGGCCTGGCGGCCTGTGGGATGCGACAGCCCATCGCCGCTGGCCAGCAGCTGAAGCCCAGGCGCCTCGGGCCCGCTGGCCACCACCTCGCTGCCCAGCAGCTGCAGGTCGGTGATGAGCAGGCCATCCTCTGCCGCCGCCTGCTGTGCCACCACCTGGAGCTCCTCACATTGCTGCAGCTCTCCCAGCGGCCCAGTCGTCAGAGCGGCAATGCTGAGGCAGGGAGGCGTCTGCGTGGGCTGCATGGCCACCGGGTTGCCAAACCGGTCGCTGAACATGACCTTGATTGGCGGCAGCGCCTCGCCTGCAGGGCAGGTACAGGCAAGGGAAGAGACAAAGCAAGTCGTGCGGCCGACTGAGATGGATAGCCCCTACCTGCATGCAGCCTTGTACCCTTAGGCAGATCACATCCTCTCTACCAGGCTAGCAGGTGTGGCATGAAGCCCCACAGAAAATGGATGGCACGTACCCAGCGCAATGTCCTTCAAAGCTGTCACAGCCTTGCCTTCGCCCGACAGGCTGAAGCTGCATGGCGGGCCAGGAGCCACAGCAAGCTGCACCACCGTTCGCAGAGGCTGCTGCCCAGGTAGCGCAGGCGTCGCCACAAACTCCAGTGCGTAGCTGCCTGACCGATGCAGGCCGTCACTAATGCGAGCAAACTGGAAAGTGTCCTTCAATGGCGTCTTGTTCTCCACAGTCAGCATCAACTCCGCCCCTGGCGGCATGCCGTTGCACTCTGTTGCACCTGCCGCCGCCGCGGCTGCCACAGGGTCGGCATTCTCGTCCTGCCGGCCCTTGCCCTTCCGGCCCTTGCGCTGCCTCTTGGCGGCACGGCGACCGCCCTCCTCCTCCTCTCCCGCCGCCGCCGCCGCTGCATCAGCATCTCCCGCCCCTCCAGCCAGGCCCTCAGCGCCGGCAGGCAAGCGCCATAGGCGCTGCGTCACCAAGAAGCGCTCGCTAGTGAATGCTGTCTTGGACATGCGCTGCCCGCTGCCGCTCAGCACCGAGGCCGCAGTTTCGGGGATTGTGTCGCCGACAGTGAACTCCAGGGCCTGCCCAGTCGAAAACCGCATGGGATCGATGCGCAGCGAAGTGGGCGCCTGCAGGAAGTAATGGCAAGGGAGCAACATGGCAGATGTCAGCGCCACACCTGCTTGCCAAAGGCTTGGGGCAGGCACTACTTCTCCCAATCGTGCAGGCCCTTCCAGCAACCTACCCTCAGCAGCTCCTTCTGCAGGTGATCCTGCTGCTCCGCCTCGCTCAGCACTGCCTCCAGGCGCCGCAGACTGAACTGCTTCTCGCACGACGGGCCGTACACCTCGGCAGGGATCAGCTCGATGTGCAGCCGGCCGTTTGCATACGCGCCCTCCTCACGCACAGCCTGGAGGGTGGACAGCAGTTGATGCATGCGCAGCAGAAGCCAGCGAAGCGGACATCTGTCTGTGCTCGCGGGGCAGCACTTTGCCAGATCATGCAATGTACCACAGTGTGCCCGTTGCTTGCCCCCCGGCGCCCTTGTTCACCTGAGGAATGGTGAAATACAGCACTCTTCCCACAACCTGCGGCTTGGCATTGACGCGCACCACATCCCCCTTGCTAATGGTGTGGGCGCCATCGGTGATGCTGTCAAAGGCGGTGGTCTCCTCGCCCAGCTTGCTGCGCAGCGCAGACTGCAGTGGGCCGGACAGACATGCGGGCCTACAGTTCAGATGAACGTAGAGATGGAGCTTGACCCGCTCGCCCTCCAAGCAACAAGAGCACCACCAGTGTGCAGAACAATCTGGTGGTGCAGACAGCAGCTTTAACACTCCATGCAAAGGGTATCCCACGTAAAGAGCCAAAATTAATGTGGAAGCCTGCACTCACTCCACCCACTGGCCAGCTTGCTCATCACCTGTGTGCGCGAGTCGGCCAGCGTCTCAAATCGCACCGACTTGTCCAGTGTGGAGTGGCAGCGCTGAAGCCACTGCCGCAACTTGGCCTCCATCTGGCGCTCCCCCGGCACTGCCGTGGCCAGCACCTCGGGCAGAGAATCTCTAAACAACAACTTGTTCCTGGTGACGCGGAAGGCAGGGCCGAAGAAGAGCGCGCCACGCAGGCGGCGGAAGGCCTCGTCAGGGATCATGTCCTGTGGGGGCAGGACAAGCAGGCATGGGATGTGTGAGCCTGTCGGCCGCAGCGTTCATTGCGCAAACAGGCACGCAGGAGCAGCCAGCCGGCCAGCTGCCTTCAGCCAGGGTCAGCAAGCTTGCCTTGGCCTGCGCATTGCGCTTTGAGCGCACGGCCTCCAGGAAGGGCAGGGTGTCAATGCGGGCGCCAGGGATGAGGCGGCCCTGCCAGAATGCCTCAAAGATGGGGACCGACTGCCAGCCGCCCTGCGCCTCCTCGTCTTCTTCCTCATCCAGCCCGCCGACTGCTGCTGCTGCCCCGCCGACCAGCTGCGTGCCACGTGGCGCCTGCGTTGCGCGATGCGGCAGGTGCTGCGTACCCCGTGGCTGCAGCTGCGTGGGACCCAGCTGGGTGGCACGGGCACCAGGGCCAAAGGGGCTGGTGGCTGGCTTGGAGGAGGTCAGCGGGTTTTCCACCGGCACCGTCTCCTGGTCATTTTGAAATGGGAAGTAGTAGAGCACCCCGCATACTGTGCCCTGCACGCCAGCCCCAAAGCTTTGCATACACAATGAGCTTGCAGGCCACATGGCAGGCCGCCTGCTACGTAAAGAAGCGATCCTGCTGGCACGTGCCATGGCAGCTTGCCTTATCTGGCACTTGCAGTGTGAATGGCAACTCGGCCTGCTGCGCCCGCAGCAGCCGCGTCTCCAAGTCGTCCTCCACCTCAGCCAGCCGCTGCTGCCACACAATGCGCGAGTCAACCTGCAAGCATACCATGCTGGTAACCACGCCTCAGCACGCAGCCAGGCCCACATAACAGGCTGCGTACTGGCACAAGGGGCCCCTGATGCCGATGGCGCAGCTGCTGCACCTGGTACCGCAGCACAATTTCGGGGAAGGGCTCGCCGTTGGGCAGCCGCCCCTCGCGCATCGCCTTGCTGCCGCCGGAACGGTTGCCCTGCTCGCCATGCAGGTAGTAGTGGTACAAGTGTGCCAGCTCCTGCACATCACAGCAGCGTGTCCAGCAGATTGAGGCAAGTTGAGCAGCAGCAAACCAGGACAGCTTTGCAGGTGGGGGTGCCAGCACGTATGCTCCTCGCCTCATTCTCTGCTGCCATATCTCCCACCTGGCAGATGTGGGTACCCTGCTCATCGGCCATGATCTGGCGAAGCACATCTGGTTTTAAGTCGCTAATCACCACACGAGTGAAGCTGGGCCCAGTGCCGCCGGCCTCGGCATCCTCGCCCTCCGCCGCCACCCAGGTACGCGCACAGCTGAAGGGCTGCTCCGCGGATGACAGGGTGGAGGGGTCTGCTGGGTTGCGGTGGATCATTTCCTCCACATAGACTTCCTGCAGGGCAGGGCGCCAGATGCAGCAGCGTGACGCTGCAGGCTGCCAGGCAGATCGTGGAACGAGGCTACGAGGCTCACCCACTCATCCCCCCACCCATGGGCCCACCTCGCGGTTCTGGTACCGCTGCTCCAGGTCGGCGGCTGCCAGGCGCAGCTCGTGCACGTACAGCTCATCTGCCCGCTTGGTGGCCACCTTGATGGAGGAGCCCATAAAGAATCCAGCATTCTTTGAGCCAACGCCAAAGAAGGAGAGGTCGCCAGTGAGGAAGCGGCCGGCGCCAGGGGCGCCCGCCGCGCCGCCGCCCCCGCGCCCCGCCGGCTGCGGCTCCTGCGGCGCCGCGCCGCGCTCCTCCATGCTCAGGTTCATCACCGCCTGCATGGTGGTAGGCAGGGTAGCACTTGTGCATGTGCCGGGCATGCGCTGCTGCACCCGCCCCAGCATCCCCAGCACCGATCATCCCAGCTCTCACCCACCCAGTCTGTCAGCTCAAGTTTGTTCATGCCGCAGCCATTGTCCTGGATGGCCACCAGGCCACGTGCTGTGGCGGGGTTGTTGCCGGAGACCACCAGCGAGACGGTGATAGAGCGTGGGTGGGGCGCAGTGCGGCGCGTGGCCCGCAAACTGTTGTCCACAAACTCGGCCAGCGCATACACAAAGGGGTGACGGCCCTGCGGCAGCGCCAGGAGCGCGAAGGGTAGGGTGGGGCAGGAAGGGAAGCCGCAGACAGCTTGCATAACAACCAGCCTGGAGTGCCTGTCCACCGCGTCTCTGCTGCTGTGCACACACCTGGGCTGCAAAGTACTCAAACTCGCCGGCCATGGTCAGCGTCTTGGGATGGGGCTGGAAGCTGATGCGCTCGGAAGCGGGCGCCGCCAGCGCACGGTTGGCAGCAGACGTGACAACCAGTGTGGCGCCATCGCGAATGCGCTGCATGTCTGCGTCGCTTTCAAAGGTCTCCAGAGTGTCGGTGATCACAAAATCCTGCAGCAGGGTTGTTGGCGAGGCTCGCAAAGTGCTGGCACACGCCATACCGCTCGGCACCAGACAGCCGGCAGCAGACGGCGGCAGCCGTGCCGCCGCCCGCGCCGCCCCTCGGAGCGTCGTCGGACCCATGGCGCACCTCTCCGGGCAGCGCCGCCCCAAAGTGCTGGAGCGCAGCGGTGCGCAGCGCCTGGCAGCTGATTGGCAGCGGGACGCACGCCTCGCCGACGCCCGGCAGCAGTAGGCGGCAGCGGGCCGCCATTTCAGCTTTGCGGGAAATTCTCAGCGGGTAGGCGCCACACGCCAGATGCAACACGCGTTGGCTGCCATTGCCAGGCGGTGCTGCGTTTTGAAGACTGGCACCCTGGAAGTGATCTACAGGATGGTAGATGTGTCCTTGGCAAGGGGCGAAGCCGTGAGGCAGAGAACATGTGTGTTTACGATTTCGTATGCTGAGGCTGCTGGGTTATCATCGGGCGCCCTCGCTCCAAGCCGTTTCAATTGAAGGAACTGTTGCCCTTCTCTTGATCACGCCACCCATCGCCCCACTCCAGGCGCCTCCCCCAAGTGCCTGCAATGCACAGACTGTGGCGGCGACTGGCGGCGGGGGCTACGTTGCCACCGAGTTGATCCACCAGCTGCTGGTTAGTGGCGCAGCCATCATCCACACCTGGCAAGCGGCGGGGCGGTGGCGGCAGCAGAGCTGCCACCGTGGCCGCAACACGACGGGCTCCTCTACGTGTTTGCTGCTGCTTGCAGGCCAAGGGTTTCAACGTGAGGGCCACGGTGCGCAGCAAGGCCGATGCGGCCAAGGAGGCCCACCTGACGTGCCTGGCCACGGCATTGCCAGGTGCGCAGACGACTGCAGCAGGCACCGTGACGCTCCAGGCGACGAGCCTTCGATGTAGTACCATGTGTGCTGCCTTGTGTTGCATGCCCACAGGCAGTGTGGAGGTGGCGGAGGCAGATCTACTGGTGGAGGGCGCCTTTGACGCGGCCTTTGCGGGCTGCCGCTACATCGCTGGCAGGGGGGCGAGGCCCAATTGTGAGAGTTGCCTGTGCAGGGGCTGTATGCCCGCTCCCACCGCCACCTGCCTGTAGACGAGGTGCCCACGTTGCTTGAGAATGCCGACAGCCGGGCCGCGCCCGACCTTCTGCGCCTGCTGAAGCGGTACCGCCTGCGCCAGAAGGTTGACATTGATGATGTGTCGCAGCAGTACCGCGTGTGGGCGCTGTACGGCGGCGAGGCGCCGGCGCTGCAAGCAGCTCGCTCCTCGCTCCCCCCGGGCTGGGACCCAGACCCACGCAGCGGTATAGATTGTCATGACGGGTAAGCAACTCATGTGTCACCATGCCGAGGGAGCAGCTTGTGCTACCAGGTACAGCTTGCCTGCATGCCAGGCGGAGCCAGCCCCAGCATACTGACTGCCTGCTGTTGCTGCTGCTGCCTGCTGCTGTTGCTGCTGCTGCCTGCTGCTGTTTGGCGGCGCTGTGTTGCATAACGACCACCATATCTGCTGCTCTGCCTTCTAAGGCTGTTCATTGTCCTGTTGTTCAGGTGCGGCGCGTGCAAGGGATGATCAACCACGAGCCCGCTGCAGCGCTGGGCCGCAAGATGACCCGCTCGCAAGCGCTGTTTGGCGAGCCCAGCCAGCGCGTGCTGCAAGCACCCGCCGAGTTCATTGCCCGGTTGCTGGGCATTGCCAGGTATGCAGCAGCAGCGGGAAACAGATCCCTGGGGCAGCAGGAGGGCGGTTGGGGCAGGGCGTGGCAGCAGTACAGGGCGAGGCTGCTGCCGCATTGCACACAGCCTTTGGGTTGCTGCGCCTGTGTCCAGCCACCTGCCTGCTCTTCTGCCCCATGCTGCAGCGACGAGGAGATGGACATGGAGCAGGGCGTGGACGACAGCCCCGCAGTGCCAACCACCCGCACAGCTGCACGCCGCCCCACAGCCTGGGCGCCCATCACCGGCCGCAAGCGCAGCGCTGTGGAGGCAGAGCTGGCCGATGAAGCGGAGGTGGCAGCTGCTGCGGCGGCCATGGATGAGGAGGAGGCTCCTGCTCGGCGCAGCAGCCAGCGGGCAGCCGCTGCGGGCCTGATCGCCGTACTGGCCATGGAGCACGAGCTGGAGTATGCGGAGGAGGTGCTGCCCATGCGGCAGCTGCCACAGCGCACCGCTGCCACTAGCAGCCCTGCTGGCAAGCGCCGCAACCGTATAGCAGTGCTGG